ATATATATATATATTTATATCTATATCTATATCTATATCTATCTATATCTATCTATATCTATATCTATATATCTATATATCTATATATCTATATATCTATATATCTATATATCTATATATCTATATCTATCTATATCTATATCATCTATATCTATATCTATATCTATATGTATCCTAGAGGACAATGTCATGAGGAGTACTTTGTAGTACTGTATATTTCTGACTTACGATGAATTCATCAGTTGCTCTGGGGAGAAAGCACACATGTCCTGGGGTTTGTGGAGAAAGCAGAAGCTCATCACTTTTGCCCCTTGATCCATAAATCACAAGGGTCCTTTTACACTCCTGTGGCTCTGGGGAATCTCCATCTGTTTTAACCTGCACTCTCCACCATTGTGCTAAAACAGGAAAAACATTTTTAGCATCAGTCTATGAATTAAACATTTTTAAGATCAATGGTAGAGAGAAATGGATGCCTTTGTTACTACCACAATGAAGAATTATGGATTACCATGAGTTTACATCCCATTTACTATAAATAAATAAATAATAATTAATTAAAAAAAATCTCTTGAAGATAAATATAGCTCAGACTTGATAAACACAAGACAATTGTTGAAGTGGGTATGAAAACAGAAATTAACACCTAGGAAGCAGAAAAAAGACACTTTTGCTAGAGGTATTTTTTGCATTCTCTGTAACAGTTACTTTAATTACAGTAATTATTTTAATAAATTTCAGTTCTTAGAATGTTCTTATGTAACATGAAAAGAATATTAACATTTTGAAAGACTTGTATGTGATACATTTGCAAGACCTGCTGGCTAATACATAACTAGCAATGAAATTTTAACCTTTTTTTCTCAGATTTTTCTGACTTTGTCATGTCCAGTCTGCTCATTTGTCAGATCAGATCACTCATTAGGGTTGAATAACAAATTCAGGAAATTTTGAAGAGATGTTTACACTGACCTCACCTCATGGATTTGACCTTCTTGAGGTTGTTTTTTGGTAAGTCACCTGTACTCATAACAGTGTTAGAAGTCCAATATGCAACTGGGAAGCTGTTCCAGGTGTGAGAAAAATACAGGGTCTTAGATGGACAGTATAGTTTAGGAAGCTACTTAAGTGCTTGAAGGTAAATCATCCTCTGAATTCAAAGGAATTATTTGTTGAAAAGAGTCTTCTTGCATTGCAAGAGGAACTTAACAGTGGAAGCAAATTAAAAGCTTTTGTTTAGACTGTGTCCAATACTGTGATAATACAATAATTTGCTAATGGGACAGTTATAAAGAGAATTATTTTGTGATTGTGTGTAAGCCTATAATATAGTTTGCTGATAAAATGAATTTTAGAATAATTTCATTCAGAAATAAATCAGATGTGAATTTTTCTTAGAGAAATGTGTGGTTTTTTCCTACCTTTTGTTTTTCACTGCCTATGTAAAGATGGAGACTGGATGAAAACCTGATCTGGTTTCCTTGATTTATAATTTTACTTTTTTTTTCCTTATTGTTTTTTAGCTAATCCTGTTTTTCTTCTTGTTATAGAACCTGTTTCTGCCTTGCATCTGACTGTTCCCTGACTCTTTCTGGGCTCAGCTAGAAAACAGCAGGCAAATAATCATCTCACAGCCAGTCTTCTGAGTAACACACTAGCTGAAATGATCCTTCCATCTGAACTCTTATTTTAAGGTCATTTCCAGCAATGAGTCAGACGTAGTGTGTGCAAGATCCACACTTTGCCTAATGAGGAACTTTTGCTGTTTGATATATGTGCCAGCTTTGAATTTTATCTCCTTGTGCCAGGTTGGCATGTGGTACTCTTCAGGGTGTCACACTTGGTGAAGTCAAGCATTGTTTGAGCCTTTGCTGTTCCTGAGCACTCCAAGGGTTTATGAGGAGCTTCAAATTTTTACAAAGACTCCCAACATAGCCCTGAATCTCTTATCCTGTCCAACCATGCACTGTTTTGAAGGGTGTCCCAGGAACACAGGAGAGAGGAAATTAAGATAATTTTGCAGTTCTGCATTTCCCAAGTGGAGCTTTTTTTTTCCTCTATGTAATATCCCTCTGCTCCAGGAGAGAGTAAACTCTAAGTTAAGAGAAATCCCAGATGCATAACTGCCTGTTCCCTTCTCAAAGAAGCAGCATGTTCAGAGAAGGTATTTCAGGCAGGGTGATTTATTTTAACTAATATCCATGATTGTGTTTCTAATTATTATTGCAGTAGGAAAGCTAAGACACCAGCTGGGTTTTCCAGGGAATAAATCAATGGTTACAGATTTAAGGCCTCTTAGTGTCTGTGATTCTTTATTCTCCTACACTTACTTTTAATGCTTCTACAGTTTGCTAAGTGAACTAACACATTTTCTCTCAGTTCAAAAAACTCATTTGAGCTGCTCACGCCAGAAGAATCAAAAAAATCCTTTGTCTAATATTCGATTCACTTAGACATCTACTTGGCAAGGATGAGACAGAAGACAGATGCTAAGTATTTATTGTGTTCAATGATTTCTATATCTCTTCAGGAGTAAAGTTGTAGAAATGAGATAACTGGGCTTCAATAGGTCATTTTCTGTGTTTCATATGTGTGGCTACATTAAAAAAGACTTTTCCCCTCATATCACTGACCTGTGTTAACTTCCTTTCAGACTGATTAGTATGTTGGTGGGTTACTGTACTTTTACAGCTAATGTGTAAAGCTAGAGCCATTTACTTTGAGACATCAATGTGGGAAGCATTAAAATTAATAGTAGAGAAAAAAAAAACAGAAATCTGCAGAAAAAAAAAGTGTTAGAATTCTCTCTTTTCTGTAATGATGTAACCAAGAATCTGTTTCACATTATGGAGATTTACCCAGAGATGTGTTAGGATTTGGGATCATTTCTTGACTTTCAAAAATTAAATAGGATCAGTCATAACAATTTTCTGCCAGAAATTCTTTTAGCCACTAGTCTGGAACCTAAAAGTTTCTTTGATAAAACTGTGAAAATCAAACCTCCAATGACTTCTGTACATAAAAATACGGGCATGGCAAAACCTGAAGTCAACATTTCATAATATAATTCAGAAAGCTGAAAAATGAAGGTTTATTTTCTGGGTTCTTTAAAATATGAGCCATTTATATATTTTTTAAGAATTTCCAAAGCTGTTTTTGCAGTACACTATTTCAGGGTTTTTTTCACTCTGGTGTTTTTTGGTCTTAAGACCTAGAATGCCATTCACACTTTGCAAGACGTGGGAGTTGGTTGCTTATTTCCTAAAGATTGTAGAAATTTGTGTTGCCTTGAGATAGAGCAGTAAGTCTGCTTAATTCTTTTCTTAGGGATTTCCGCCTCCATCTGGCAATGGAAACACAATGCTGTTGCTTTTTAGAGGTAGATCCATTCCCTTTTAAATTTGGGAATCTTGTGATTATTCTTAGTCTATTATCAAGTACTTGCAAGGTAGGGAATCATTCCAAAACAAAATTAGTCATGGCAGAATTTTCTGAATATTTTCTCTTTTCATATGAATTTTGTATATGCCTTAATACCAAAAAACCTTGCACAAGAGTAGAAGAGCCAAGTGAGAAATATCTATTAACCAAACTCTGCTACCGAACCACGCTTTATTTACCACCCACAAAACCCCACAAAACCTCAAGACACCCTGCAGGCATCACATTACAGGAAGCCAGCTCCTTTTAGCTGACTGCAGTGAGGATATCATTGGAACATAATGTGTCTTGTCTCCTTGCTCTGAGAGAAAAGTCTTTCCTATGTGCTATTATGATACCTTATCTATTTTGAGGCAAAAAAGGAAAATAAATAGAGGAAACAGAAGGAAGAAGTAAAATATCCCTACCGTGTAAGAAACTTTTAGAAAGTAACATAAAGTCCCATTCAAATCAACTTCAAATCCATCAAATCAACTTCATTTGAGAGCTGAGAGCACCTATCTGCCTTCTCCACCAGGACAATACACTTCTCCTATTTATCTTGCATCAAATATACGAGGAGAAATCACAGGCATACAAATAAATTTATTCCTGTGTCTGATTTGCCAGAGCCTCTCTGTAAAGTACAAATGTGCAAAGGTTACTGAGAAAACTTGATATGGGCAGACTGCATTTTGGCAGAACCCATAGCCAGCAGAAGCAGTGACAGGGCTCTGGGATTTGTGCTTCATTAGAGCTGGCATAATGCCAGCCTGGCTGAAAAAGCACAAAGAGTCCTCAAGTAACCTACCTAGAAATGATGGTTTTCTCTTTGTCTAGGTGGTTGAACGGGTTTCTATTCACATCTAAAGTCAATGAGATTTCTGACCTTCAGAATGACTTATAAAATACCTTGTTCTGTAACCAGTGCTTTAGACCTGACCTAAGCACATTGATCTTACCCTGAAAATCAGCAAACACTGAATTACGCCAATCAGCTTTTTATGACTTTCCCTGAAGCCCATTGGCAGAGCTCATACAGAATATGACCACATGAGTGCCTAAAACAAGACTCCCTAACATCAGAACTTCCACTTGCCTCTTACTCAGCTAATGTACGTTACATGGAAAGTTTTCACCTCCACTCTGAAGGGGGCTGCTTATCACTATTCCACCATGTAAAATCTTCACTGCTACAGGTGCTGGGAGAATCTAAGGGAATTATTTTTTCTCCCAGGGCTCTGAATCTCGTTCTCTTACCAGCTCTGACATTGGCACTGAGTCATGATAGAATGACACAGAACTGACTACAGGATATCTTTCCAAACCCCTGTGGTTGTTACCCTCCTACAAAGCTCAGTCATGAAAGGTCTATGAGATCACTGATATGGCAACACAAATTAGACTGTGAAAAATCAGTCCATCATCATCTTTTTCACATAAGGCATAAAAGTCCAATCTCTAACCTATATCAGTTCCTCACTGGAATGAGCCCATGGCTAAAACAAGGATGGCTGAAGAGCAGCTCAAGCTAAGCTAACATAGCTGACAGATAACTTCCTAAAAATGTTCTTCTCTTTTATAATCTCTTTTTTCAGAAGCTCTGACCTCAGCAATCTCTGGGTCCTCCTGGACATCTTGACAGCATGACATTTCAGAAGCTGGTTAAGAATAAGCTGCTCCTTTCTCCTCATAATCAATATATTGAGTCTGATCACTCTTGACGCTCACAGGCAATGAACAGCCTGTGCATCTGTGCCTGCTTACTATAACATAATGAAGAATGAAACTGTGATGGAAAAAATTTTGAATTGGTTGTAAAATATAGTCTATTTTCTGAGCATAAGGTAAAACAGATATTATGGTTGTGTCTCAGAACTGTGCACTTAGCAGAATGCAGAATCCAATTCCAAGTCACTCGTGAAAATTAACTTTCTCTGTGAGAAAGTCTTTATTTACCTGAGTTCATCATTCCCCTCTTGTCAAGGTTATGTTTTTGTGGAATAATAAAGCTGTTGGCTAAACTGTTTGAATGCAAATTATTCAATTTTCACTGAAACTGGAACTAGATTGAGAGACTAAGATTCATTCTACAGAAAGCAAGTCACAGTTTTAAGAAACAAATGGAAGCACTACTTTTTTTAGTTTCGTTGCTCCCGTAAAATTCCGAGACACAGTTGCACAGAATAGCCATTTACAGTTAAATTTTCATAAAAAGTATGTGTGTCACTCTGTTTTTCTTTTCTGGTTAGGAAGAAACATGGAGATGGCAACTAGTGCATTACAGAGATGAGACTGTCTTTGTAGATATGAAAACAGAAAGCTGGGTGGGGAGTTATATATTCATGTCCTTTTATTAATCCAAGCAAATTTAGCCAACTGAATGCACATACATTCAGTTTCACTGGAGGATTTGGAGTTTAAGTTTGCCTTATTTCTGTCTGCTTTGGAATTTTGACCTGAAAATGTTTCCACTGACACTTCACAACACATTTTTCAACTTGCTGATGTTTGCTAGGGGACCTATCCCCAAGTATTAAATGACAGTGACATTGGGATAAACAAAACAGCACGTGAATCTCTTCTCAGAGGAATACCTGGTTGATTTTAGGACAGAACAGTAGAAATAGGAAGAAAACCAGAAATGGTTTATGTTTTTTCTCAATTGTTTATAAAGGTGTAGTCCTTCCTGGAGACTACTGCCAGCCAATTTTTCAATTTCTCTCACAGTTGATATACAAGAAAACAGACATACAAATGAGGTCACTTGCTCATGAATTTCTTGCAATACTGATTTAAATTCAGACAGCAAAAACTATGGTATAGAAACCAACGGTTGGAAAACAACTCTTACCTTTAAGGGATGTCTTCATTGGACTGCCAACCTCTAAAATATGAACAGGAAAAATAATTGTGAGTTAGCTTCATTGTCACTTTTAACTTAAGTTATGGTCTTATCTGGAAGGGTTCTTCAGTAATAACTAGGCATTAAGTATATAATATAGTGCTAACAAATTTTCTTTAACAAAATACTTACTATTGGCAGTTAGCTCCCTCTCTGTTTTCCCATCATCTTGCTATTCATCTAACCATCTTTCATTGCAAAAACAAAAAATAATAAGATTAATAAAAACTATTAGCATAGTATATATATCATCTGACCATTACCTTTTGTCTCCAACAGTATTTTTTATCAAATGTTATCACCTTTTATGAAATTACACCTTGAAACTACTTCCAAGATCAAATTTTCTTCTTCAGCACAGTTGGCCTTATTCATATAAGAATTTGGCTCAATTTTCTCCAGGCAAAGAGGAATTTTCATGGTAGCTGTATGAAGTGTGATAGTACTATATGGAGTATATTATATGAAATACTAATTAGTTATTGTTTCAGAGACTCAACTCAGTACATGTGAGTACATGTGAGGGAGTTGTAAAACCTGCAGTGGTTCATTATAGTCATTGTTCTTAAAATTATATATAAAACTTGCAGGTCTGGAAGTTTCTAAAACTTTGACAGATCTCCAGCAACAAACTGAACTTCTGTTCTTTTCTTCTATATTGATGAATTTAAGGAGTTTTCTGCAATATAATTTCACTGCAAACATACATTCATACTCCTTCAGTTGAACCCCCTTGTTCACATAATATTTTTCAATCTTCTACAACCTCACTTATTTAAAAATAAATAAATACATGTACACTATCAGCTTCTATTCTATTGACACCATGTTGATGATGTAGTTGTTTAAACCCAAGGATCCATAACACATTTGATTTCTTGTATGGAACAAAACTCTATGAATAAATCTCGTATGCATGAAGTCTAAACTCCACTGTATTTCAACTCTTGTTGCAATAAATATCTCAATTAACTTTTGAGACCTATCTCCTCCTTCCATCCTAAGAAACAAAAGATCACTAGCAGTTTCCAAAAGTAGAAAGCAATTTTTGACAAAAACTGAACACAGGATTAGAGCTGCAGCCCCACCAGTGCCGAGTACAGGGGGCAATCACTGCCTTCATCCTGCTGGCCACACTATTGCTGATCCAAGCCAGGTTGCTGTTGGCCTTCTTGACCACCTGTGCATACACTGGCTCATGTTCAGTTGGTTGTTGACCTGCACTTACAGGTATTTTCCACCAGACAGCTTTTCAGCCACTCATCCCCAAGTCTGCAGCACTGCATGGGGTTGTTGTGACTCAAGTGCCTCTTCCTTCAGTACCCATGCCTGGATCACATCCAGCCCAATAGACTTGGATGTGTCTAAGTGCTGCAGCAGGCCTCTGACTATTTCTGCTTGGATTGTGGGGTTCTTTCTGCTCCCCACTTCTTTCTTCTAGCTCAGGAGGCTGGCTATGAGGAGAACTGGTATTACTGTTGAAGACTGAGGGGAAGAAGGCATCAAGTGCGTCAGCCTTTCCTTCATCCAATGGGTATCTTCCCTATTCTACTGCAACACCAAATATGTCAGAAGGTTCTCTTCCATGGGCTCCAGGAACCTCCTAAACTCCTTTTCCTCTGCTGTACTGTATTTCTAGTCCCTCCCAAGGACAACAGCTGGCAATTGTGAGACTTCTTCCAGCTGCTCATAGTACATTCTGTCTGCCTCGTCCTCCTGGTTGGCTGGTCTGTAACAGACCTAGACCCTTCTACCACAACACTGGCCTTGCTGGCCCTCCCCCCATTTCTTACCCATAAATATCCAATTCTATCATCGCCATCATCAAGCCCTAGACAACCAAGAAATTCCCTGACATACAGGGCTACCCCACCTCCTCTCCTTCCTTGCCTCTCCCTGCTGAAGAGTTTATAGTCATCCACGGCAGATCCCATCATGTTTCCATGATGGCAGCTATGTCTTTTCAGATCTTTACACACAATACTTACAAAAAGATTGAGAACTGAAAGCTTATTTAATTTCACATGGTTTCTGTATAATTCAGATTTAAAAAAAAAGATATCAACACACCTTTCCTCTTATACAACATTTGATTTGGCACTTCTCTGAGTCAGGCTATGACTCCCTTCCATGCCAATATAGGAACATTTTCTCCTTGTCTTCAGCTGTAAGATTTTGCATCACTTGTATGTTGAAAACTCTGGGGCATGCTCAAACATCTAGGTTGTGTGCACAAATCTGCCCTAAAATTTTTTCATTACATTGCTGGCAGGTAACAAATTCCTTTTCTCCACCTATTACAAGGAAATACAACCTCCTGAGCTTCCTCTCCTTCTTTATATTTGATGACAATCTTATCCAGGAACCATCCACTGCCTGTGTTGAAATGACAAAAGTTTATCATGTGAAATCATACATTTTTTTTTAATAAATTTTAAGAAAAAGAGCCCAGATTATCTTTTTCTAGAAGAAACACAGATCATATTAAGACAGATCTCATCTAAATAAATATGTTAACAGAATGAAAGCCTTATTATTTTTTTTTCATAAGAGATGCAATTCTTCTCTACCTTACCCTGTTTTAATTTAAGAGGGGTGGGTTTTTTCCCTCAGAGACAAATTCATGCATACATCTCTGAACTGTCAACACCATTCACATCCCAGCCTACATCTTTTGTTTCCCTGTAATCAGGCACAAGGATGTTGGGACAAATCTGCTTATGTCAATAATCAAGATTTGTGTGAAAGCTAGAAATTTTGGTCCTCTGTGACAGAACCTGTTATTGCTTATATGAAAATATTAATTAACAATTTTTTAAAACTTACGCTCTCATGTGCAAATGGAGTGGGGCTGCAGCCTTGGAGAGGTTTTGTATGCCTTGGTGGCAGTACTCTGGCAAAACTGGGGATCCAAGGTTCCAGAGTCAGCAACCAGAAAGTCTGACTGCCTAAGGCCAGCTACTGGATGCTTTATACATGCAACCTATACATATTTTTTGTATTTGACACTGATGGACTGTTGTTCTGATCAGCTGCAGAGGGTAACAGGGAAAGGCCACTTGTACTGTTTGTGTACCTGCTGAGTTCTGTCTGTGTTGGTCTGCACGGACAGCTATGTGCACACATATGTGTTTTATAAATGTGTTTGTGTGTGTGTCTACTGGGAACACACACTCAGCCTTGCTACTGTGGGACCAGCAGGCACGGGGCTGTGCAGTCTCACTTCTGCTGGGCTACTGAGTTCATCTTTTCTCTAACTGCAGAAACCACTGGCTCATCCATGCTGATCTTTTATATCACTTCCAATGACCATCCTAGTGACTGGTCTGGCTGTCCTGTGGTGCCCTTCTCAAATATCCTGTTCTCACTGTACCTGCACCACTCACAACTTGTCATTTTGCTTACAAGGTTTTGCCTGACTCACCATTACCTATTGGCACATTGCAGCAAAACAGCATGTGGGATGTTTTGATCAGATTTATGCTTTGTCTCCTTGGCTGCATCTGAGTCTGGAAGTCCCTAGAAGGCAGCACACAGGAAGGGCATTCCCAGGCATTGCATGGGGCAAACCCTGTTCTCTAAGACAAAAGTCTTACTTTCCTCATTCACCCTCCTTCCTCCCTCTCAACCCCCAGAGTCCCTCCTGAGACACCATCCTTTTCCAGCTCTCAACCCCTCAGTCATCTCAGGCAAGGCTTATGTGGGGCTGGCTTTGGATACAACTCAAAAGATGTGTGTGAGATCTGACTGTGCTGAGTACATTGAACAGCCTTTTGAATTACTAAGGCTTACATTTTGTTACAGATAGAATTTAATCCATTGTCCCCTTTAGATAGTCCTTCAAACCCACAGATTTGAACTGCAATGTCAAAAAACATCTTGAGATAGCTGAATAGCGTTACAGATTTGTAATGCTGATCCTGATGATCTGTGCTGCTTATTAAAGGAGATATGAGGGAAGAGAGCATGCAGTGGGGAACAGAGGACAGGTGGGCTCCACCACTGAGCCTTTTGTGTTAAGACTTGGGTTACTCCAATGTGAAACTCTCAGGTGTGCAATCATCCGTATTGCTGAAGGCAGCAAACTGTATGGAACTACAGCCACAGGAAACAAGATTACACACCATTCCAATGCTGCACTGTTCTGGCTGTCTCTGTTACAGTCACAAGCCTGCTCAGAGCCTTAGGCAGTACAGACAGCAAGATGGGCATTGCTTGGGGCCATTTCAGAACAGAGTAGGGTAAACAGGCTTTTATAATCTGTCATCAGTGGAGCACTGAACTGCTTAAAAATCCTCTTTACTTAGCTTCTTCCTAGATATTAATTAATTAATTAAGCATATTTGCAGTATTTATCCCTTTGGTGCTTTTAAATGTTTGCTTTCTCTTCATTTACATCATTCCAGGGAGACGCACACTTCTTCAAGGGCCTGTACCCAACACTCATCTCATTAGGAAATTCTTTCTTTATTCCTGAAAAACCTACAAATGAATGCAATGTCACTCAGTGGAACAGCTCCACATTGACTTTCACAGACCAAATATATAATCAAATCTTCTACAATTGCCCAAAGCAGCAAGGACATTGTGTTATAGCTACTCAAATTTTGTCAGGTAGCAAATCAGCTGCTGAATATCTTTAATTCCTTCCTGGATAGTTGTCACTGTTTGTCTAGTGAAAGATTGTCTTACCAGTGTGAGTCACACTTTTGAGAGTTTTCTGCATGCAAATAAATAGTGCTTTCTGATAAATAATCATGAAAACAAGAGTGGAATAATAGCATATGACATTAAACTCCTGTAATTTTTTCTGTCCATTACCACAGTTTTTCATCATCCCATCACAGTGATCAACCTGCAGGAAGACTTTTTATCACTGCAAGACCTTCTGTCACATTTTCTGTGAAGTATGCAACATAAACAAGTGCATTGGGTTTAAAAAGGACTTGAAAACAGACTGGTCTCTAGGAAATTAATTCCTACCTGGACCAGCTCCATCATGGCTAATCAGAACTTTCTCCAAGTCTCCCAGTGAGACAGCCTTTATGCAGAAAATATCCATCTGTGGAACCATACAAGGAAAATGAAAAAAGTCTTAAACATAGCTATTGCTTTGACTCTAAGAGTATATAAGAGCTTTTTTTTTCCCTCTTTTTCAAATTTTTTTTTTTTTTTTCACAAAATGAATGTAGTTGATTTGTATTCATCCTGGCCAAACAGTAAGGATCCTTTAAAACTTTTTAATGTGTATAATTGAAAATTACTTGAAAAATTTTTTTTCAAAATGCAAAAATTGAAAATCTTGAAAATTACTCCACAGAGACAGCACTGATACCTTTGGCATGACACAATGATCAGTTTCAATTATTTGATTGTGTCTATATTGTATTTTCTAATAATTTTATATTGTATATGTTTTCCAATACTGGAAAACATGCTTAGGAATACAGATTTAGAACTTGATTCTGAAATTCCCAGTGATCTCTTCAGGACAACAAAGCTGCTATTGTTACCATTTTATCTATATGTTCCATACAAAATAACCAAAATACCAAAATTCTAATACCTAGAGCTCTCAGTAAATGACTGATCAACCAGATAAAAATTATCCATATGATGAAATTATGCAAGCAATACTGTATAAGGAAAATGGTCAATGCTTGAATAAACCTTGTAAATAAAAAGATATTTACATTTCTTGATGAAACAGTTTGCTAGACATAATTTATCCTTATTTGTCAGAAGTAACATTGTTTTTACTTCACCTGTCCATGTCGAAACTTAACATTATTATTCTTAGATCTATGGAGCTTCCTTTTTCCAGCATCTCCTCTTGTCCCAGTGAGGTTGATATAAACATTGGAATCTGTTTCAGCACCAAGTTTAGCCCCTGTGTATACATGGACCTCATACACCAACACTACAAGAAGAAAAAATTCGAGATTATCCTTGCAGCTTGTACAAGCTTGATTCTAAAGTTTCCTCATCAAAATTTTGCCAGAAAACTCTACTGATTTTCAAGTTTACAAGTAGCAGCAGCTATCCATGAATTTGTCACTGATAGTGACAATAATTCTCTTCAAAAGATATGAAATTTAATTCTCTTAAAAAATATGAAAACACTAAGCTTAGGAAAACCACATTATGCTGAGCTTTCCTATGTATTGTTAGTTCACAAACTCTTTCTTTGCAATTTATCTGAAGACCACCAAACTATTTTGAGTCATCATCTGAAATAAGAACTGCTTTTCACTGCCAAAGTATTTTCAAACTCCAGATTTATGCAAAAATCATCTTGGTTGTTAGCCTTCATTTCATCTTAAAAGAGGAATAACAACCACAAATCCAAGGGTTTTTAGGTGTTTACCCCACATACGAAGGTGTTCAAGCAGATGAACACCTATAAAAAATGAACAGTCATCTTGCTTTCAAAGATTTCTACATCTGTCACTAGTAAATGATAGCACTTCCAAAAACAGCTCTCAGTTAAAATATATTTACCACATTTTAATGCTTCTCCTTATAGTCTAGACCAAAGTCTTACACAAGAAAAATATATTCATCTTCAAAGAATTCTGCAATATAATTTAGAATTACTGTATTAAGATGTTCTATGACACACTAATATAATTTTTATAACTATTACAATTTATTTTAAAAAGATTCTTTGCAGTGATCATATACTGTTATGTTTCATTTCAGTTTTTCTCTCTGAGACGTTAAAAAAAAAATAATTCCTGTTTACATTTTAATGGCAATTTTTCCATGCAGTGTTTCTATTCTGATCACAGCTGGCCATTTCTGCTGCTATGTGGTAGATCACAGGGAAGATTACTGTTTCATTTACATGTAATCTTAACAGTTCTTGGGAGTGAAGAAAAGTCATAGAAGTCCTTACAAGCATAATTAGTTCCTTTTAAGAAGGAACAAAGGTGAAAACAGAACATGATAACGAAATTCTTGAAACTGAACAATACCCTACAAAAACTAGTTAAAATACTGTTACCCTTAAACAACCAAATAGCTATTAGAATTAGAATAAATAAATTTCTTATTCACTGGTTCCCAAGTCAGCTTATAAAACTCAAATATCATGTGGTCCACCATCACCAAAAAACAGCTATTCCTGATTCCCAGAGAAGTTGAACAAGTATTAAAATAACACTGCCAGTACTTGAGGGAAAAAAATAGTCCCACATATATTAAAAGAGATAAAAAATATTGATGGATAGACTCTAGGCTTAACCAAATTAGGGTATTTCTGTCAATCTGTGTAAAATTACCTTAAAACACTGTGTCTCCAACACTTTATCACTATTACAACTGGGACTCTAAATAGAATTGGTGTTCCTTGACCAATTTTATTATTTTCTGTAATTCTAAGCACTCATTGCAGCTCTCACATCCATGCATTAATGTACCAACACTGCCCCTGACATATAATTGATCTCAATAGCACACACATATCTTCAAAATTTTGGCAGGTCCTTATAAAAATTAGTTTCAAGGTTTTTAGCATTAAAAAGTCATGCTAAAACAAATTGTAGCTATGAATAGCAAGTAGCAAAGATAAATTGACCTGATAATTAGCATAATTGAGATATATATCCAAATTACATTTTATATCAGAACTGCTAATATAATCATAGCTGGCCAAAGGGCAGAGGATGAGGGGTGGCAGCAAACTGTGACAGAACATGTGCAGCAAAGAAAAGAGCCACACTGATCATGAAGGGGGAAAATCTTTAGGAGTGTGGAAGGAGACAGGTTACATTTAAAAAAAAAAGATAAAAATTATAATAATCTGTGACCAAAAAATTTTAATAACAGTGCTGTACTACCCATGAAGCAAGATGCTGCAGGTAGTAAAAGAAGGAACATATTGACATGAAATCTCCTCCACACTTTTACATTCTTACTTAGATTCTTAGTTTTTCAAATGCAAAATATCTGTGGGAGGAAAGGAAAGGGTATAGACTGTTTTTGTTATGAATGTTTAAATATAAAGACTGGTATCTGTAATACTTACAGCTACAAGCAATTTCCTTGATCAAAAATTAAAAAAACAGTAACTGTCAGCACAATATAAAGCATATTCAAGGCTTTTTTTTTTTTTTAAGAAACCACTTAACAATAAATGTTTACAAAGTCAAAATACCAACAAGTCCTTTCATGGAAGGACACACAAGAAGAGAACAAGAGGAAATTATAACACAACACAAAGATATTAAAAGATAAATAAATTACAGTATGTTTTGTAGTGCTGTGCATCTCTGTGGTAACCAGAGAGACTATAATGATCTAATCATTAAATAGAGCTCTTTTTTTATTAGCATAAATAAATCAATCTGAAGTAGACAACATGCACATCTTGAAATGTAAAAACTGGAAAATATTTTCCATAGATTCTTGTGTCTACACATCCCTCACCATCTGTAAAATGTTAGGTCTGACATTCATTTAAGCTACACAATCTGCATTATTTATACAGGAACCTTCTTAACAAAAAAGACCAGTTTGTGCTCTAAATTTTTCTACAAATATAGGCTACTACAATACCTGCTATTATATTAGGAAAGTAAAAGGAAAGTTCATACCCCTTAACTTGAGTATATGTTACAATACATTTCATAGAAAAATGAATTTTCACACAAAAAATGAAGAAAAACATTGTCTAAAACACACATGCATAATTAGAACATGGTGAACATGGCCACTATGGTGAAACACCTGTACATTCAAATAAATATTCATGAAACAGATTGTGGACATTAAGCCTTTCCTGTGCAAATGGAAACCTAGGCACAGACCAGCCTGAGAGGATTTAATTTTTTCAGATTTTATCAAGTAGTTCCTTCAGATTGTAGAACAGCTACAAAAGGTGCAAGTGCTAATGGCTCCTGAGCTAAAGATTGCCTAAAACTAAGAACAAGAGCAATGGTTCCACCCTGTAACAAATAAAATAAGGTGCACCAATTGTTTGATGGGACAATACAACCAAATCTGGAGAACAAACCTACCCATTGAATGTTCTCCTGAGACAAAAAGATTTACTATATGTGAAATTTTTCCATTTTCTGTATATTGTTCACAAAACACAATTTTCTGTGTAGAGAGTAAAGTAAATCTATCCTAAATAATGTGTTTATCCTCTGAGACTGTGGTTTCATTTTTTTTGAGTTACCAACCTATTCTAAGGCCCCCACTGCAGGCCCATCTGCAATGGAGACCTCCTTCACTGCAGGAAGAAAAAACCATCCCAAAACTCAGAAAATCAGAACTTTATAGCCTGATCCCCTATTCTGTGGTAGTAATTTCATTTTGCTTTATGCTGATTCAGTGAAATTACACCAGCTGTAAACTGGGGTGACAAAACATGCAGAGAGGTAAACCCATAGGGGAAAAAAAACCAAAGGAACAAAACTTGAAAATTATTTTATAAAGGCCAATCAACAGAAGTCAGCATTGAGAGGGACCTGAGAGACTCACATCTAGGCATCTGTCCAATGTGGAACACATCAAAGTAATAGAAGAAATGTTTTGGAAAATAAAGTAACTTTGATAAAGGATATAAAACGACTAATTAATACAGAATAGCAGGGGGAAAAAAATCTCAACTAGCACTCAGTAAAAAAGAAAATGACCTTTCAGAAAATAAGTGATTGAAATCTTTAAATTGCTCAAAGGGTAACCTTAGATACGCTCTAGAAACCAAACAGAAAAATCTGCAATATGGATGCATGGATGAAACAGATGAAAAAGGGAACTAAAGTGCTTTCAGACAGAGGTGAGGAGTTTCTAAAAGGCAGACTTTAAAGCAGTATAACTGTGCTAAAAAATGACAGAACCAAATATATTAAAAAATAATGTAGAGTCATATGAGCAGTCAAGTGTACTAGTACCAAATTTCCAGTTGCGCAGTCTATAAAAATGTTATCTCTTGAGATACTATCATGAGGCTTCAGGAGTTTTTTAAATCCCAACTCCAGCTTCTGGCATCTATTGATAACATAAGAAATTAGCTACCTTGGACAAAAGAGAGAAAGAAAGGAAGTTTTCTTGCTTACAAAGAAGAGGTAACCTTAGGGAGTACTAAGGGAAATAAAACACAAGTTAGAGACCCGTTTTTTCCAGATTTCCCATTCTGGGCATCTGAATCACAGTTTCCAATACAGAAAATTGATATATTCCCGAGCCTTGTCACCAATGACAAGAGATAGTTTGATCCCAGTTTGCAGGAATAGTATATAATTATCAATTCCTTTTGAAGAAGTAATGTACAGAACTCAATGACTTATGACACTTGCCTTTGGAATATATAAACAATAAACAAACTTCTCCAGTTGCTTTGCATTAAAGACAAAGTTAATATTTTGATATGTTTTGGGAGAAGAAAACAAACCGAATAGAATTGAAGAATTTATTGTTGAGAATATAAAAATGAAATTTTCATGGCAGGAGCATTGGTCTCCTTCTGCTGACTTGGTGCAAACTGCTGTCTCGCTGTCAGCTCTTTTCAAAGTAATTCTACTAAAAGTAAAGGCATTCCTCTAAAAGTACAGCCATTATTTGAGAATTCTAGCTAGGAGAAAATGAATTGAAGATCCACAGGTGTCTGTGCCTAATGGCACTGGTTTGCTTACAACACCACTGAATCCCCTGGCTGGCTCTACTTCTTTCTGGTGTGCAGCGTGGAGTGGTTTCAAAGCAAAGACCTAGGTTCTGTTTGGATGAAACTACAACAGATAATACATTCCAGGAGCACAATTACAACAATCTTGATTCAAACTGGCAATCAGTCTGTGGGAACACAGACTAGAACAAGCCTGAAGTAACTTCCCTCAAGACTCCCGCAAGGAGGACATTGGACACTTAACTAAGCATTATTTTAGCATGGAGTGCTTCACTGAGCAAATCCACTCCCACCAGGCTGCCAGAGCAAACAGATAAACTGGCCAAAGAGCACAAAACCTGGAGAGATGTTAAATGACACAAAACATTAGAATTGTCCAACTGTTTCTTTTCAGTCCTCCCTTTATTCTGGCACACCAAGACCCCAGAATGTTATTGCACATCCTGTTGCCTTTTTTCCATAAGCAATGCCCACTTGAATGAAATGGTCATTTTGGCTCAATCCATCAAACAACAAGGTTGAATCTCTGATGTTAACACTTGGTGTTTACTACCTGGGTTTCACAGAGTGTGGTTGGCATTTTGCCATGACAGAAGGGTAAAGATACAGGTCAGTGCAGTGTTAAGGCTAAAAGGGAAAAAATTCTATATTAATTAATTAAATTAATAATATATTATAATTAATTGATTAATATTATAATTAATTAATAATTATTAATATATGCACCCTCAGGTGCATATATTAATTTAGAAGACATAAATACAAAAACAATATCAGGTTAGGACATTTCAGTTAGATTTACAGTTCTCACTCTAATCTCCAATAAATGCTATCTAATCTCCAATGGTATTATTTGGAGCAAGAGTCTAAAAAATATATATTCTTCATGACATGCAAGAATATTATCATCTTTGAAAAAACACATTGGCTAATGCATCTTACAATAAAGAAGCCTGACTATTTACCTATGTAGTTGGTGCCTTCTGAGTGCTAAAACAGAGATAAAAATTTTGTAGAGATAATATTTGTGTTATTACTATTTGCTTTGGTCATCTTTTGCACTTTTGCAGTCAGAGGCCACCTTCTAGTATTTCTGTATTTGCCTGAACACTTCTCCATGTGGAAAAATGCACTAAATCTTTGGAGCTGGATTTTTTTTTTATTTTTTTTTTTTAGCATCTTGTCTTAAGATGTGAATTTATTTCCTTGATCTGTTAGTTTTTCCTTACCTTCCTCTCTGAACTTGCTTCTTTGCCATTCAACTTTCTCACCTTGGTAACACCTCTCAGTTTTCCTGATTGTCCCTCAGCCACTTCAAAAACTGACACCAATCTGGTCTCCTACTCAGAGTATTGACTTCGGTTCTTTCTCAATCTCTCCAAGTTTTTTTTATGATCAAAAGATCATGAAACTTGGTAGGTCTTGTGATCTACCACATAGCAGCAGAAATGGTCAGCTGTGATTAGGATAGAAACAGGTTGAAGGAAACTTCCAGGAATATCATGGTTCAACAGAATGCTGAATTCAGGCACAACTTCAAAAACAGATCAGATGAAGTTTTTTAGATCTCCAGGGCTGGAAAAGTAAAAGAGAAGATGCAATAGGAAGATAAAAAGGAGCCATTGACCCAGAATCCTTACAAATCTGGAAATCCTTACAAATGTGGGAAAAAATAAGAAAAGGGAAGACAAAGGCAGACATGCATTGGAGAGCCAAGAAACCTGAGTTAGGAAAGAAGTTGAGAGTAGTGAGATGGAGAGATTTAGAAAGAACTGAAATCAATACTTGGAGTAGGAGACAAGATTAGTGAGAATATTTTGAAGTGGCTGAAGGACAGTCAGAAAAACTAAGTGGTGTTACCAAGGTGAGAAATTTGAATGGAAAAGAAGCAGGTTCAGAGAGGAAGGTAAAGAAAGGCTAACAGATTCAGGAAATAAATTCCCATCTTAAGATGAGCTGCTAGAAAAAAAAGAAAGCCAAGGTGTCAAAAAACTCTTCTAAGGCTTTGGGTCCATATTGGTTGCATAGAAAACTTCAGCTGAGAAAAAGAATAAGGAAAAATTACCCTTTCTTCTAAGACAGAAGTTGAGCAATGAGGTAAGTGCTTAAGATCAGCAATTTAAAGACCAACACCTTCTGGGCTTAGTTTACATTTGTTCACTTTGTTTAAAGTTTCCAGCACATGACTTTTATACTTATGCAAATCTGGTATCACCAGAAGATAACAGATTAAATTGAAAGTACAGAATACAAAATCCTAAATCATATCAAGTTTTCATTAAGTAATTAGAAGTGTGTAGTTTCTTCTGCTGGGGAAAGTGACTTGATGTGGTTTGTTCAGTCCTTGTAAGCAATTAGCTTCTAAATGGGAAATGAAAATGGATAGTGTTTAATTTGCTTGTTCTTGAGAAAATAAATAGGAAATCCTTTGGACTCCTTGCTGAGTTTGTATTGATGTTCAATTTAAATGTTCCTAAAATCAATAACTAATTAGTAAAACTTCAAGTTTTGGGAAATTTCCAAGTTATTTTGGAAACGCGTCTTTTCTTACATACTTAAAACATATTTTAATAAAGATCCTGTTCCTGCAAACACAAGGAAATATGCAGTAATACAATGATTAAAGACTAAATAAACATGCCATTTTAAAGATATTTCCAGCATTTGATAGAACTGACTTGATTTTTTAGATACAAATATATAAATAGAGTGCACTGACCAGAATATTAATAGTTTCCTATGAATAGGTTTTTCAGACTGCATAATGCAGATTTGAATTATTGATGTTGAATTGATTGTTCATACAATTTAATTGGCTTCTGCACTATTTTTCTATTGCACCAGTAAATGACATATATGTCACTGTGAGTGGCATGTGGTACAGTGGTACATGTCAATGATAATAAAATTTGGTTCATCCTGATCAGTCCCATTTTTTGAAATATCTTATTTAAGTTAGTAACTATTCTGAAAAAAAATTTAAAAAAAATAAAGAGCAAAGAAGAAATGTGAGCTGGCTCATACATGTTTCTTAGCACCTTCTGGTCTCTGTAATAAAACATTCACACATCACAGTCTTGATTTTTTTTCAGAGAATTATGTTCTTTTGAGTTATGGATTATCACTTCTGTAATATTTTCTTCTGAAATTATTTGATTGTCACTCAAGGAATGATGATTTTTTTTAAGTTGAATCCCAGATACCTTGCAAAATTCACTGCATCAGTTTGAATCCAATTTGCTAAATGATAGCACCTATCCATGTAAGACCTATCATTGGCAGACATTATTGGACATCAACTGCATCATTGTCATTCTATTAATGTAAAGAGAGTCTATTAAAAAAAAAAAAAATCACAGATAGTGATTATACTGAATCCCTACTCCTCTCTAATGGCTCAGGACTTTTTAAATAATAACCTTATATGATGGGCTATTTCCCACTTCACTTGAAGAGAATAAAGTGCATTAAAGCTGTCATAAACTTTGAATTCCCAAAGTGTCACCCTGCAGCTAACAATTTCTATGTGAATGGCTGTGACACAAGCCTGATTTGGAAAACACCTGTGATGATTCAGATCATGGATTTCTGGTAAAGTATGTTTTATGCAGGACAAGAAAGGATGATCTCAAACTTGCTTAAAGGAACTGGATATCACAGGACATTACATACCTTGATTTCCTGCCTGATGTCTTTCTCTAAAGAGCAGTATTTACCAGAGATGTATGGCACTCTGAGAAATCAAACGTTTTATAGGGTACAATGCCCTGGCCACAGCTATTCTGATTTTGGGAAGGAAAGGAATGGGGTTAAAGGATCAATTCCCAGGGATTGCTCCATGGTTACACTAGCTTTTGGGCAGGCTGCCCTGGTGGAAACAAGAGAAGCTGTCATATACTCACAGGATATGGTTAGTGAACACGAGATCTAAAATACTGAGCACGTACATGGCAAGAGCTCCTCTGCAGGGCGTCTTACTGCCACTTCTCTCCACGTATCACCTTCATCCTTGTCTTCGGAAAGCCAGCTCTCTACAGGGAGACAAATCTCTTCATCAGAAAGAGGGACTGTTCTTTCAAGTCTGACTTCCTTCAGGTACCAGCTGGGATCATTTCCAGTGTTGTCGTGGCCAATGCGGATTTTATATAGCTGCCCAAGTTCTCTGAGATTAATCTGAAAAAAAAAAATTAAAAAATTATCCAGATTTTAATAACAAATTACACTGTTGTCTTTAGCCATCCTTCTTATACTTGGCATGCAAGCTAAATGTGCAGCTAACATAGCCAAGAGTAATTGAGTTTTGTTAGAAATGCAAGCCTTAATAGACAATGAATTCCAAAGACAAAGAGTAAAAACTCATGGAGTAGTCTGCAAGTGTAATTTTATTGACTTCAGTGCCACATTATTTAAAGTGAGTAAAGGTCTCAGACAATCCACTCTGTTTCCAGACCTCTTCAAGGAATCCATTTTCTAGTGTTATAATGTAAATCTCTGTTTCTAGAGAAATACTTTAACAAGCAGAAATAAGTTCAGTCATTGCTACACGAAATCATACAAGTCCATAAAGTTACTATCAGCAGAGCCCTATTAACTATTCCTACCACTTATCAGTCTGCTACTTTTCTCATTGACTTCTGTTTTTATGTGCACTGGTGTCAGGGTTAACTGTTTCTGTAAGTGCTGATGCCACAATGCAGCAAATTTAAACAATAAAACAAGACTATGTCGCATTGAATACTGCAGCCTTGAAATAGGAGACACTATGTTTTGGGTCACAGAAGTATTTTGGGCAATTCTGAGGGAAGGAATCTAAGCACAAAAGCAGGGTTAACCACTTTCAACCTTTTTTTTTTTAACTTTTTTTATCAGTGTTGTATTTGAAAGGTCATGGTAACTGTGAAAAAAAATCACCAAGTGAAAAATAATAAAAAATAGTAGTTTTCTTTACTATTATTGCAATTTTGAACTATTTCACATCAAAACATAAAGGAAACAAACATCCCTGAGGCAAGCCTGGCACAACTCAGTCTCATAGGGTGAGAGCATGACATGCATGCTAGTAGTAAAAAGTCTGTATAGAGTCACACTTAGGACCATTGTAGTAGGTTTTGCTATATTAAAACAGTATGTTAAAGTAAGATGTGCCAACTGAAGATACAATTATAGCATTAATGCAATAAAATCATGTACCTCAAAGATATGCTGCTAATACTCACAGCAGAATTACAGCAGCAGATAAAAAGGAATGGCTGAGGGAGCTGGGGTTGTTGAGCCTGGAGAAAAGGAGACTCAAGGGTGACCTTATCACTCTCTGAAACTTCCTGAAAGGTGTCTGTAGTCAGGTGAGGGTTGGTCTCTCTCCAGGCAGCAGCTGACAGAATGAGAGGACACAGTCTCAAGTTGCACCAAGGGAAATATAGGTTGGATATTAGGAAAAAGATTTTTTTACAGAAAGGGTGGTAAAGAACTGGAATTGTCTGCCTGGGGAAATGATGGAGTCACCATCCCTGGATCTGTTTAAATAAAGACTGGATGTGGCACTCAGTGCCATGGCTTAGTTGAGGTGTTAGATTGAGGGTTGGACTCAATGATCTTGAAGGTCTCTTTCAACCTCGTGATTCTGTGATTCTGTGAAAATGCTCTGAAACCAGCCACAAATGTAGCCAGAATATGTTACCCTAATAAGTGTCACCCAGCTGCAAAACAGAGACTGCTCCAGCAGGCAAGGGATTGCTAATGTTTCTTTGAAAATATATATAAAAATATATATAAACATATATTAGAACTCACAACCTTCATTGCAAATTGAGTAGAGTACTATGTTGGTAAACAACAAAGGTGGTGCTCTGCTGAAATGTAGGCACTGGCTGCTGCTTGTGGTGCAGAAGTGTTAAGGGGCAATTTATAAAACAAACCACTGATACCTGTGCCTTCATGGCCATGATTAAATTCTGGTTTAATCCCAGAAAGATGAAGAAGAGAAAGAGAAGCATCACAGCCATCACGGATTATTGTATGCAATAATCATTACCATGATTCTTGGTAGGGACCAGGAAACTCTAGTAAAGAGACCTTTTCAATTTCTGAAGCAACTAACCAGTCATTTGGCTATGAGGCAAACTGCAACAGTGATAAAGCAAATACAGCATATTTATAGTGCATATAAATATATATATATATATTCGTTATAGAATTTATCATATGAGTTGGCTCAAAAGTGAAGCTAAAACTTTTTAAATTATATTGATTTATCATATTATGATATATATATATATGATATATATACCATATATATATGAGATAGATAGATAGATAGATAGATAGATAGATAGATATGATATATATATATGATATATATATATATCATATATATATTATATATATATGTCTAAGATGGGAGATATGTTTCCAGGTGAATTTCCATGCAAAGACAATGAACATGTCCTTCTGGTCCTTCTCATCCTGCTGTGCTCCAGCAGATCCTTTTCCTTCTTGTTCTGGAGGCTCTGGAGCTGGATGCAGCACTCCAGCTGGGGTCCCTCAAGAGCAGAATAGAGGGACAGAATCACCTCCCTTAACCTTCCAGCGGCATGGTAGATGACCTTTGACAGACCACTGGTACAAGTGGAGAAAATATCACAAAAATAAGCACATGTAGAAGAGCTGACCAAAAAAAAAGGGGAGAAAGGAAAGAAAAAGAAAAAAGAAGAAGCAGTTTGAAAACAGAGAGGGAATGATGAAGCCCATTCATCACCATATCCACATGTAGGGACTTCCTCTTACTGGATAAGCAAGAGAGCAATCCATCAAACCTAATCAAATGAAGTTTCAAGAAAAATCAGGAGAGAACAGAAAGCTCTGTCCAGACCATTAGGCTTCTCCAGGAGATGCATCTAGTTGCAACTAGTTCAATTAAATTTGTTGAAGTCTTATTTAGCATCCCTAAACATGCATGTCCTTGCGTCTTTCTATACTTCCTATCCTTCCCCAACATTTACACTCCAAAAGCAGGTATGATATAACCAAATTAAGAAAGCTAAGTGCTAAAGGAGAATTTTCCCAAAGTTTCAAGTCAAATATATTTGCTTGTCTTCAGCTAAAGGGAGATACAGTATAAAGCATCCTTGTCTACTTGACTTACAAATGAAGAGGGTTTTGATATGATAAACTATTCTGGACTTACAGATAATGGCATATTTCTGAGTCTGAAAAGTCTCAAAAATAATTCAAAACACAGAACACTGCCCATTTGACAACATGCTTAATAGTATGCTTAATATTTTTGCATAACATTCTTTTTCTGAATAATTGTTTATTAGTGACTTGGGGAGAAAATGTCAAGTTTATTCTTAAGTGGAAATTAGGCAATGGCAGAGGGGAAATCAATTGTATATGATGTTCTGAAAGATGTATAATACAATTAGAAATTTATTTTCAGTACCAGTTACACATTTAGGGCTAGGAACAATTCATCTAGATGTCATATCAGACATCACATTGGTCTCTCAGTGGTATTGACTTGCTAACACATTATTTTTTGTCAATTGGAATCCCATCAAATGTATGTCAAATTTTGCTCTTGCAGTGAAATGCAGAGGAAAATATTCTCATAACACTGTAGAGCTAACGATATTCTTTTGACAACATAAACAGTGTCTTGAGGTTGCTTCTTCCTTTCCTGTGTTGAATAAATTGCCTTGAACTTCTGCATGACTTGAACACAACCTGGCATTTAGAAATCTACTTTCGCAGCCAGAACTTTCTGTAAAAAGTTGTAGAACAAAGTTGACTTTGTCGCCCTTGTAAACAGTGTGCTTACAAAAACTGTAGTCTAGCTGTTTTATGATGTTCCAGCACTAAAGCTGCAGAAGTAACATTCCTTTTTATATGGAAACAGCCATTCTGATCAGCCTGTAATAAATGTCCAAAGAGGAAAGGATGAGTTCCAGGAGGAAAGTATCACTCTGAAAAACAGGCAGCTAGATTCTATTCCTGAATCTGCTTTAGGCTTCCTAAGAAACATTACAAAATTCACAAGCCCTTTTTGCTTCACTTTCTCAACCACAGAACAAGGACAACATTTACATGTCTCTTACAGGGACATTGCAAAACTCTCTTCATAAATTTCAAGATCCTCAGAAAAAGGCACCTCTCTGAAATTCCTTATTTTTTTCTAAAATGTTCTGTTCATTTTGGGTTAGTTGCTAGTTTTCTAAAATTCAATTGAGGTATCAAGAATTATGAATTGTAATGATGTAGTAGAATTTGGACATGAAGGGAAATTCAAATTCCATTATGATGTGGCTTATATCAGCCACCTGTAGAACATAAATAAAACCTAAACTGCAGAGGTAACAAATTAGGCCATGGAAACACAGATTGAGCAAAAGAGATCTAGACACCACAAACATCAGGTATGGTGATCTTCTTAGGGATGATCTGTTAGAGAATTCTTCTACAAATACCTTCTACAAAAAACTCTTCTCAGAAAAAGGTTTTGCAAAACACCCAAATCATCATCTGCAGTTAACTTGTTGGTTGATTGTGAAACTCCTTCTGATGCATCAACCAATTTGTGTTAAGTCCTGTAATAAGTTCTAAAGGGGATGGGCTTCATATAGATCTTGCTTATGTGACAGACTGCCAGCACTTAATAAGCTTAAAAATACCATTGTGACTACAATGATAGTGGTAATTCTATTGTCTTTGTTGCACTTTTCTTCACTGCTGCAGGCAATAATATCAACACATCATTTTTCATGGTTCAAGTACAAGTACAAATTATTGAAAAAACTGTCCACCACTTTCAAAAGGGCCATGTTTTCACACACAGCATCTTTGATTTAGTCATATTCTAAATTATTTGAAAGAAGTTAAACCAGACTGACCTGCTAAACAATACATCTATATGCTTTGTTCATTGTTATTATTTATAGGACTAAATAATCTTCTTACTGTCGGCAATGGGAACATTTTTATTAAATCACATGTTAGACAACTTGGCCTTGCTTTTTGAAATTGAAGCTTAAAAAAGCTCATATTTTACACTTTGTCTCTAAGCATAAATTTAAATCCAGGTTTATCAGCAAGAAGTTCTTCCTAAAGAGGATGCAAGATTAAATTTTAATTCCATTTTTAAATGAGCTATGCAAATACACTTTTTGGTCCCTAGCACACCTGCGATATTTTGAGTAGAGTAGGTATGACCTATCTTCATGTACTTGAGGTGTTTGACTAAGTGAAAAGTGAAGTTCCTGGTCTGAACAAGAAATGGTTCAGTGGAAAGGTACTTCAATAAAAGGAGGGAAAGAATACATGAAATGACCTCATTTCTCTTTTATATAGTAGAAAAAGTGAAATAATATCACTGCTTTCCTGTTGTGCAGAAAGCATCCTGCAATCTCTTCGAGATAAACTCAGGCTAGCATGAAAATCATTTGGATAAATCAACACTTCAGAGGCAACTGCACCAAAATCCTAATGTCTAACAGACCCAGCAGAGAATATGCTTGACAGATAGTTATTAATTTCATGTAAGGCCACTTCATTAACAGAATTTCAGTGAAGTCATGTTCAGCAGTTGAATTCCCAAAAGAAAGAAAAATCATTGACTGCATTAGTTTAACTTCTACAGCATTGTCATATAATAGAGAAATCTTTGGAAGAAGATAATATTTTTTAATTGTGAATGTACAGATAAATAACTGATACAATAACTATTATACCAGTACAGTACCCAGGGTCCACCCATGCTGCTCGCTTTTTCCAGATGTCTGAATTTGTTAATTGTGCCCAAAAAACTTGGCACAGTTACACACTAACACAAAAATTAGAGTATGTCACAGGTGCTCACACAAAAATGTAACAGTGTCACAAAAAAGGATGGATATAGACATGTAAAGAATAAGATTAAAGGCCACACAAAGATTAGCATTATTTTTTCCTACTTCATACTTGCTTTGGTCACAAAAATAGATTGGGTAAACAAATACTGCTCATTGCACAGTGACTGTTAAAACACTTTCTTTTCCAGTGCACTCAAGCTCTGGAAGAGCTTTTACTGTGGGGTTAATCAAATTATGCCAACAGCAAGTACAAATATACATATACATATATAAATATATATACATATATATACCCTTGATAATGCCTAATTACTGAATTACTGAACAAGTAACACCACATTCCCTACTCCCTTTTCTTGAAGATGAGATGAGTTGTTTTTCCCCAAGATTTTTTGTGAGCTCTTTGCAATCCTCTGTTGTTTCTTGGAATAAACTAAATTTTGTTCAATGCACAGCCCATAGCTGATGAAGATCATTTTACATACTTCTCCCTTTTATCTCAGTAAGGGATGAGGTTCATCCTGTTATCATATGCATTTCAGACAGTGAGAGTTTCAAGTGGAGAAACAGTCATGAGTATGACTTTTATGCTGCCTTAAGCAGATATGACTAAAGTCTGGGCTTCTTTAAGTTTTATTCAACTGGTTCTGGACCTAAATGTCTAACTGAGCTCATTTCAGCCTCTTTTATTTGAATATCACGAGCAAAAGCATGAAAATGGATTTGTTTCAACCTATTTTTATAGCACTTAGTTTTCTTCTCAGCGCTTCTCATTTTACTTTGGAGATCTCAGTTTTGACTGATGAACAAATGACTACGGATCCAGAGTACAGGAACGGAAAACTCACAGTGAAACACAACAGATTCTTAGAGTCTGTAGGGCTGATTCTAAAGAAAGGAGTTTTAATTATTCATGTATAGGTTATTTAAAATAACTGATAATTTTATTTAAACAGGTGGAAATCAAAATGAAAAACAACAGATCAAGTTCTAAGTGTCACACATTCCTGAGATGCAGTACAGCATGAAGGCGCACCTGATGAACACAGCTCTTAACAGAGAAAGTAAAGTGGAAGTGGAAGGAAAATGGCTATATTTAATCCTTTAACAGTCTCATCATAGAAGCACTATTTATTTTATGGCATTAGGTATCTCTTCAAGTATTATAGGAGCACTGCTTTTCATCTCCCTATATTACTTTCTTTATTTACCCTAGACCATAGGATTGGTTTAAAGGATTGTTTATGCAGATGAAGAAACTCTAAATCATGTAAATGGATGTGGCACCAGCTTTAAAAGTTAGAAAAATGAGCTCATGCAGCAAAATTCACACCAGGGATGGATTTCAGTTTCCAATGCTCCTAAAATATCGTGCATACTTCATGTTCTGTACTTGCAAACATGGAACAGCTACCTTCCTTACAAAGAAAGCCACCAACCACAAAATATAACCTAAGGTTAAACTGAAAATTTTGAAGCTTCCTTAGGAAAAAATCCAGCACTTCTAGTAGTTTAATATAATGGAATTTTTTAAAAAAATTGACAGTGTGTTGAGATTCTTCAGACAAACATCGTCCTGAAGAGATTGAAGAGCTGATAATGAAGCAAATTCGCAAAGCAAATGATGGAAAAAGGCTTGTTAGGGAAATGCTAGGTCCTGCCACCATCACTAAGGCGAGCAGTATTTTGAAAGCACATCTACTGAACCAGTCAGTGTTTTTACTGACTTCATTATTGCTAGAAAAGCAGAACTTGTACTCAAAGGTATGGAATTATTATGTATAGAAGTAATAAAAATTGAGAGATTGCAGCTGGCTTTTACAGGAGATAATAGGCTTACAGTCTTATGCTTAGTTCTTTTTGACACAGAAGGGAATATTTGGCATGAACAAACATTAAAAGAATACTTTTTAAAAGAATTTTGTTATCAAACATTCTATACAGTCATAAGAGATAGTTCGGCATGTTTCAAAGAATGATGATGCACAATACAGGGCTCCAGTGAATATCATTTAGAATATAATTAAAGCTCCAGTGTCTTGAGCAACCCAGCATTCTGCCAAAATCAGTATTTTTGAAATACTGAGAAATACTCAGGGACCGTGATGACACCAGAGGAAGTTGCAGGAAACAGATCAGAGTTGTGATGAAAGCTGTAACTTATGGTAGATTGATATTCCTCTACTGGAGAAGGAATGACTCTCAACAGAAAAATTATGCCCTAAAAACTATGCCTGAATTGTAACAGAAGCAGAAATCCACAGCCCAGAAGTAGTTTCTTTGAACACACAGGAACAATTCAGAGAAGAAAAGAAAATCCATCAAATTTAAATTCTGTTTTTTTCCTGTTCCCACATTGTTTATCCTTGACATACCCATCTGGTAGGAAAAATTGCCAAGCCACAGGAGCAAATGTTGTGCAGAGTACATATGACTATCTTGTGGAAACCTAGAACCCAGGACTCCAGTCAGAAACAAGAGCTCTCCCCATCACACAATTGTAAATTGCCTTCAATGAGTTTCATATACTGCCATCATATGGAAATCTCCAAGCGTAATAGCCTTGTTACATTATATCTGCATTACAATGGATTTTGGCCAGTTTTTAATTTCATTTAGGCAAACCTTAATCAGAGTTAGCCAAGGTTAATGAAGTTACACTTGCTTTATAAAGTAATAGAAGCAACAATAAAATTAAGTTTTAGAATGAGAACTTAATAAGGAGCACCAGCTGATTTATTCAAGTTTTATTAATTTTTTTTCCTTATTTTTAACTTTACTGAATATTTATTGTATACTTTTAGGAATCCAAGTTACTACACAGTTAACTGTGCTTTCTATCAGACTACTGTTCTTGATTTTTATTGAGACAATGGTTTGGTCTCATTCTCTTTTTGTGGACCATTTCTCTATGATTTCTTATGGTTGTATGTGTAACTTACAGGGATTTTGAAACTATATATTTTGATTGTTTTTGTGAGGCATGACCGTGTTTTATTTGTTTCCACTATATTATACTGATCTCTTCCAGCACCCTGTGGCTGGCTAATTTTGGTATCAAAAGACACTTTCTGTCCCATCTGTCACTGATTCCCCATCATCTGTTTATTATGCATAAATTATTTAAACCTGAGTGACATATCACAGATGTAACTACTGCAACAGGTACAGTCCTGACCAAAGAACTGCATGAACTAGAGAAAATGGCAGGAATTACAGGATCTTGTAGAAGTCCTGAGAAATGTCATGTTTCTGAAGCACATCTCAGAGACTTTTTTTGTCAGCAGAGAGAAATGTCTTTATTTGCTTGGAGAAACAGGACAACACCAGTATAAATCATGAGTTAACTTAATCCATGTGCTTTACCTCTAGTTTCTAGTCATCCCTCCCCTTCCTTCTTACTTTCTCAAAGAAAAATTTCACATAAGAGTGTGCTTCAGTGGAAGTCTGAGGAAGATCCTGGAAGAACTTACAGTGGACCCTTCCAAAGATGGATATGCAGCACAAACCATAGCCAGGACTACCTTAACACATACACACAAAGAAAGTTGTTTTTACTCCTTCAAATGAGCATCCAGGGTAAACTAGCAAATCAAGGAGATGCAAGTTTGAAGCAGATTGTGAGAGACATGTCTGCCACGCGCAGTTGAGAATGCATTGCCCGATTCAAATCTCATGGCTGTAAAAGTCAGCCACTCCCTCAGAAATACTTAATCATCCTAACATGTTTCTTTGAGTCTTTTTTATTACCTCTACTATCTAGATTTGAGAACAGCTACTTTGCATATGTTTTGAATTCTCTGGTGTTTATATAACAGCCATATTATACCTTAAATGTATCTTCACTCTTGGGATTAAACAGCTGCTGTTTCCCAGATCCCAAAAGAATAGGACCAGAAGCTTTGTTTTCTCCATAAGCATAAAGGAATACTGTTGCTGTTGTGCCAGCTGTTTCAAAGTCCCCAGTGACTACAGTTATCTTCCACTCTCCTTCTGTAAAGTAAAAAAAAAAAATAAATAAAAATGCTTTTAAAAATGTTACTTATACAAAGCAGTTTACTTGAAAGATATAAATTGAAACATAATTTGGTCCAAGGACTGTGACTCTAAGGTTCCTAAAAGGTAACGATGTCAGGAGAGGCAATAGAGGATTGGCCAAATACTACACCATTCAAACTGATCTTAAGTGAGTTGTGGATCAAGAACTGAGGAGGCTTACACTGCACTAAAGCCAGAAATATGAGCACAGAGCTAAGTGAAATTTCTAGGACCAACACAGAAGAAGACCACCATCCGGAATTTGGATTATGACGACAGTATAAACAAGAAATGTGACAGGAAAAATGTCAAAGCATCCCAATTAAGTACAATTTCCTCTCATTTTAGGTTGATGTGATTCGTAACAGAGTCCCATTCACCTGGATGAGGGCATGATATTGAAATCAGCATGAAAAACAACAAGGTTTTTCAGAAAATTCTGAACTGGATTAGGACCCATTAGAAAATTATTTTATATGAAGCTCCCTGACACTAAAACATCATTTCTGTTCCCATACAATATAAACAAGTTATTTAAATATTCAAAAGCAGCTTAATATAAATCTTATTTTAAAAAAGAACAATTCATAATTTTAAAATGCATTTCTACATCTGAAAAGATGGGATTGCATGCTTCTCCACCCGTCACTGATTGCAGCGTTTGTCTGTGTGAAATTCCACACAGCGACTTAAATTCATTCTGTTCAAGGAAAACAATAAATGAAATACCAGCCCACAGTCATCTTATAAATAAATGCCATAGCATACACTGCAGTTTTCTTAGTAGAAAGCTGTCTGGTAATGACTGCATGATTTAAATCTGTTGTCTGACAGAAGTATTTATCTTGGGCCAGCCTCATTATCTCTCAGTAATCTGCCCCACAGAAATTGGACTGGAGAAAGAAGCTTGATTTCCTGTTTTCCAAGTCTTTAGAGGTCTGGCTGATGTCTGGTTTGGGAAGGTGATAGAATTTTAACTGCACACAACTACACAGCTGGGAATTCAGAAAGCAGCAACAAGTCATTTGTTCTGCCCAATCAAAGCTGGCCCCAGACTGAGGGAAGGAAGTATACCCCTGTAGTCTGCTCTGACCAGACCCCACCTGGGGTACTGCATCCAGCTCTGGGCTCTCCCAGGGCCAGATGTAGCAAAAGGAGGATGTGGAGGACCTGTTGAAACAGGCTCAGAGAAGGGCCATGAAAATTATTAGGAGCTGGAGTTCCTCTCTTGTGACAACTTGGTTGTTGTTCATCTTGGAGAAGAGAAGGTTCCAGGCAGGTAGACCCTTTCAATATGTTAGGCCTTTCAATATATTAGGGGTTTAAAAGAAAAGCAAAGACTTTTTGCAAGGACATGTAGTAATGTTGGGGGGAATGGTTTTAGTGAAAGAGAGTAGATTTAGATAAGACATGAAGAATATACCTTTTTTACTGTAAGGATCGTAAGACATTGGAGCGGGTTGCCCAAAGAAGTTGTGGATGTCCCATCTCTGGGAGTGTTTGAAGCCAGGTTGAGAAACTTGGTCTAGTGGAAGATGTCCCTATTGATATCAGGGGCTGTAACAGATATTTTTTAAAGATTTCTTCCAACCCAAACTATTCTACAATTCCATAAAGGAAGTGAATCACCCAATTTTCATTAAGAATTGTCAGACTGCAGCTTGTAAGAAACTCACTTGTGCCTCTGAAAATCTCCATCTTCACAACTTTCTCTATAGACTCACTTTCTTGATAAAAGAACCATAGCACCAGAAAACAAAAGGATAAATATCAATTAGAAGAGTGAAAAGCCTCTATATTGTGGAAACAAAGAGCATAAGGCAAGGGCTCCCTGCCCCATAGAAAAAGCGCTTGTTTATAGAAAACTCAGCCTTTTCAATTTTCAAACAATATATTGTTAATTTCCTAAAGACAAAGTTCCTTCGAACCATTTGACTGGAAAATAAGGACAATTCCATTTACAAGAGCTTACGAAGAATGGTGCAGACAAAGGGTAAAATATGACCCACTACTCCTCCTAAAATTTCAAATATCATTCAGAAACAAAGACTCATTTTAAAGTAGGTAAAATGTATTTTCTTTTTGACATTTTCATTGATTAATTGAGCCTCAAGTGGCTTTGATGGCCCTTGTTATTGTACTACCCTCTCAAAGCCTGTCTTTTGTTAAGCAATGGGGTTCTGAAATGATGCAGTTGCTACTATTGAGGCTGTATTTTCTAGCTAGCTCAGCTCCTACCTCCCAAGTATAAGCTTATTATCTGTAAATTATTCTGCACACAAGTACCACTCTGAAGGTAAATTAGAGAATCAAATTTCCCCAAAAAACATCATCAAAAAGAGTTCAAAACAGAACTCCTCTATATTGACTTTGAGGCTTGTTACTCTTTTCTGGAAGTAGAAAAGACTTGTGTTTGAAAGACAATATGGGTATAGGAAAAGAGTCCTTAAATTTCTAATCTCTCTGATGCCAGAAATCCTTATTGCATTGCATTGCATGCTTTCAAATAGAAAAGGGAAACAGTAAGAATTACAAAAACACAGTTCTTGTTGGCATAAAAAGCTGGGCTGTTCTGATGAGGTAGAGTACCAATAGTTTCTTAATGATCGAAGAGGAACACACTTTGAGAGGAAAAGAATATAGATAATGGTGTTAAGACATAACTTTCCTTTAGCATACATAGAGGAAAGATGCAACCTATCTCCTGGGGTTCTGGGGACATCAGAATGCTATCTTACCACAGATGACCGTGTAGACTTTTATTTTTTTTTATTTTCTATATTATTAGAAACATTACAATACACTAGAAAGTTCTACTTCCTAGAAAAATAGCTCTTCTTTTTTTAAATATAAGTGATACAGAAAAAAAAATGCAATATATTTGAAAGCTTATGGGAAAAAAAAGGAACGTGAACAAGCTCTCAGATCAACCACTAAGCCAGGAATTGGAGCAATCCCTCTAGGTGTAGGATACAATTTCAAGTCTCTTTCCCACTGATCCATGTTTTACTGAGTTTCCCAAACCAGAAGCTATTTGTTGCATACACTTTTGACTGCCTTACTCTGATTGAGACTTTTGCACAGCTTAAATGACACAGCCCAGAGACTCAGCTGTAGGTGCAGAAAGGACTAAGCAGACCAATTTGAATTCTGGAAAGGAGGATCTCTCGGGGCAGGGAGGTGCAAAAGCGAGGTGTGCAGAGCAGATAAAGCACAAAGAGTGATGAACAGAGAGCAAATTGCTGCCTGTTGAAAAAAGCATAGAAAGCAAGGACAAAGATATTTCTGACTCAAAAGGAAGTCTATAACAGTGTGGATTTTAATAAATTTTCTAAAACAACTGGGCAAAAATTTTATCGTCAACAACTTGCAATAGGAACAAGGTTTAGGACAAGGTATTTGGTTCTTCATGGATATTCTGACTGATAAAACAGATTTTGAATAACCATTTTCAAACTTTCTCACAATGTCTCCTAGATCATTGTTCAGCCTACAGCATGAAGCACTTCTCACAGCTGAGAAATTCTAATGTGTTATTAAGAAATAAAATTTAATCTGCTCTGGTTACCAGGACAGAAAAGTCACCCTGAACAAATATGAAGTCACAAGTAAAACAGGAAGTGAAAATCTCTTGTTGAGAACAAAACTATAGATAGGACTGGGAAAAAATCATGTTTTAAAATGTTAACTATAAAAATCTGAAATTAACATAGATCACAAATAAGTACTAGAAAAATAGGAATTTTTCGAAGAAGCAGAAAAAAAAATATTATGGAAAGGAAAACGACAGAAGAAAAAGGAAGCATAAACAAAGTTATTTATTTTTTAAATTAAAATGTGAAGTTCAGAGTTTACTGAAATGTTCAAATAGTGTGCTATAATTAATGTTTTAAAATAAATACAAATGGCAACAAATGTGTAAAGCAATTAGTTCTGAAGCAGAAACAGTCTTCATTAAAATCAGAAAATAAGAGCAGCATTTACCATTTGCTTCTTGAATTTTCAGCTGCTGATTTTTTTCAAACTCTGCCAAAAAGAAAAAAAAATCCATTAATAAAGGATTTATCTTTTAACATTATAGAAAAGATTTGAAAAAAGTGATCAAAAAGACACTCAGTTTTTCTAGTCAATACAAGAAAATTCTTTCTCATTCTTTCCCTCATTAGTTTCTCACTATCACCTATAGCAATTACATAAACTGTGTTTCTCTCACAGAAATATAGCAAAGCAAGCTACAAAATTGTTAACTCTGATATTTACAGTGCAAAATCTGCCCAGATTTCTTCAGAGGAAAAGGATTACTAATGACAGTTCTTACTTTCATAAAGTTACAATAAATCTTACCTTGAGGGTACAGCTCAATTTCTGAAAGGATTATACCTTGAGACATAAATGGAAGCCACCTAAGAATAAGAAAGAAAGCAAGCAGTAGGAATCAATTCTTATTTATACTGCCAAATAACTGAATGTTCCATGTCCGATTTTCATACTGAATACACCTAACAGCAAAGGGTCTCTACTCCTAAAATTTTAGCATTTGATATATGTTAAAGTAGGAATTATTTGACTCAATGAAGAAACTTCTTTTGTGCAAAAGTAAGAGGTATGGAGGTGTAAGATGTATGTAGGTGATGCACTTGTATCAGCTTAAGAGACTCATATGGCACTACTGTACTTGTACTAGCTTAACAGAAGAATATAGCACAGAACATTTTTTTTCAGTACTGTGGATTGAGAGGTGAGTATAATTTGTATGTATCTATTGCAATACTTCTTAAAACTACAGTTCAGTGTAAAAAAAAAAAGATAGAACCAAACATTTCTTTCTTATTCCTCCTATAAACTGAGGACAGGTAAATGAGTCTAAAAAACAACAAATAAAGGAAAGCATTCTTAAGGTTTCCTAGTAATGTTGCTCTAGGCTGTGTATAATTTTGAAAATTTTTCATTCACCACATGGATTACCAGCACTTTTATTTCCTCTGCCTTGGTAAAAAAATCAGCTCTTTTTTTTTTACCAGAAAAGAAATGCAACAATCTTCTGGGCTGTAGTCTTTATTTCCTCAGTCTACTTCCATGGACTCTCCAGGAATGACCTAAATCATTCAGTCTCCGATGAAGCCTGTTGGGATTCCAGTACAAGCTGGGCAAGGAAAGTCCTGAGCAACTTACAAAAGTTCCTATTTTTTGTCTTTAAAACATTACTTGGCCAACTCATATATGAGCTGATCCCTAATAAATAAATTTTCTCTTACTAAATTACTTATTTCTATCACTTCTGCTAAAAACTGATGGCACAGGTATCTTCTGAAATCCCAGATGGTAAAAGGTATCAGTAACTAGTAAATACTGTATAACTGAAATCGAGTAGAACCTATTAGACATTCAGAAAGTAATATCAGGTTTTCAAGACAGATAAAATGCTTATGCTCCCTTGGCTAAATGAGAACAAACAGAACTTTTTTCATGTCCTAGATCAGAAAATAGCTATGTAAAATAAAATAAATGTGAGGCTGAAGATTACTGAATTAGATTTCTGAAGAGCAAAAATCTCCCTCCTTGAATAGAGCACATTTTGGCAAACATAGAAGCTACACCTGATCCCCACCACTGACTTATTTTAATCCCTTTTCAGCAGAAGGGTTTCCTTATAGAGAAGTTAGACATTAAAAAAGAGACACTTGTTTCTTTTAACACTCTCTATCATAGAATAATAAACATCTGGTGTTAGTTATTACAGAATTAATACAGAAAAGTGCCCTGCCTAAGCCATGTTGCTCACTAGAGATAGCTATGACACAAAGAAAATTTCACCTATATTTTTTTAGAAAGGTAGCAAATGCAGCTTGCAGCAGCAGCTGGTCCACATCCAAATCTACTCAGAGAAATCCTCAATCTTTTACTACTATTTATAAGCATCTTACTGGCTGAAAAAAAAAAATCTTAGATTTAGGGACTCAATCAAGGTGAGAAAACATCTTTATTCCTGCTTTTGAGGATGTGACACCAAGAATTGCAAGAAGCTTCCAAGGTTATGGAACATATTCATTAAAATCCTGACAAAATAACTAGGCAACAGGCATTAATTAAATATGATTAATTAAATATTATTTATTCTACTGCCTTGTCACATAGTCATATTGTCTCTCTTCACTTTCTTTATTTCACTTGACTCATGCATATACCCACAAGAGAGACTGTAAACTGAAAACTCCAAACATGGGATTACCACTTTTTTCTAAAATATGCAAAATGAAGTATTTATCTATTGACTTTTAAGATGCTCATTTAATAACTGAAACAGAACATCTGAAAAATAGTTCTGAGAATCATATTTGTCTGGCCATGCTGTAAAGAGAGTGAAATGCCAGTTTTGGATGGAAAATCTGGGTTTTTTCCCCATTTAGAAGTACACTTCATTTAGAACATTTCAGGTGCTTTATCTTTCCTTCGTGAAAGGTAAATCACGCTCACAGCACTGAGCTGTAGTACTTATCCTGTAGGATAAGGCTGTACTCTAAAATCTAGGAACACAGACTCAATATAAGTGCTCAAACTTTGCTACAGACCATACAGAACATCAATTCAAGCAATCTGTTCTGGAACAACATATTTTGTGGATTTTATAAAACTGTGAAATAGTAAAAAATGTCTTTGCCTGGAAAACTCACATTTAATACATCAATTGACATAATATTTTTAGTGATACACATTGAAAAATATTTAATATTGTTGTAAAAGCTACCTTTCACAATTGAAAACATATTCTGAGTTGTTCTCAGCTTCTCTGACAATGACTTTATCACAATACCAATGTTGGGACTTGGTACTGGCCTCACAGCGCAACAGCACCTTCTGCAGCTTCCCAAGAGATACAGCTTCCACTTCAAAAACACTGACCTGGAAGACAGAGGAGACAGTACTCTGCAATTTGCTACAAATAAGGCAGTCCAAAAACTGAAGTGTGTTAAAAGCCTGATCAAGTCCCACAGTGTACAAAGATTTCAATCGGTTTCAAAGACAGCTTGCCTGAATTCAAAGAGTCTGGCTCTGAAGAGTTAAGTGTCTTTTGATGAAGTGTCACAGTAAATAAGAAAACACAGTCAAAATCAGGATGAAGTAATAATCTCAAATAAATTGGGCTTTTACAGCCATCATCCAAAATGCTGCACACAACCCTTTAGCATCGTTTCAAAACCTTGCCATTTACATTTCTCTAGGTAAGAAAAACATAAAGCTGTTATTTCCTTTGTTGATATTACATTAAAACAGACCTTCTCATCATTTTCTTTTTTTGGTTTCACCTCCTCTACTTACATTTCATTCTACTGAAAGAAACTGAAATCTGACATGCCATTTTCCCCTTGTTATTCATCTAGGCTTGTGCTTATAGTTGGAAAAGATTGTTTTCATAGAAGCATGAAGCTGATCAGGTTCAGGTTGATAATTTTCTGTCCCAGGAAAAAGCATACAGCTTTCTGTCTCTAAACGTAATGGTCCAGATCATTCTTCTCAGTAAAAAGAAAATGAAGGAAAGAAATACACTGGAAAATTCATATCTGTAAAGCTCTCAGTCCTCAGCAAATGGCAGAATTGAGAGTGCCTGTGCAAGATTACTTATCCCTTGTGTATTGATAATATATGATCACAAGCTATTCTCTCTGAAAGATTCCTGCCTCAAAGTGTGCTCAGGAGGATGACAGATTTTCAGTATCTCTTTTTATCTTCATTATCTTTATGACTCTATGCATTATTTACTGCAACTACCCAAAGAGCTCAGTGAAACAGAACTGATTTCCCCAGTGACTTCACCTTTGCACATCTCCCATAGCACCCTGGTTTTCTGCAACTGCTTAATCTCTTTCTTGAAAGACCATCTGCATAATATTTCAATTTACCTACATACTTGAAGCACAGAGTTTACTGCCAAAAGCTGTCAAAGATGCAAAGTGGTGTGGATGCTCAACTGAGAAACAGAGGGGTTAATTTACTGAAATATTTAGCATTTCAAAGAGCTTACTAGGTGCAGAGCAGAATTCTATTTGAACTCAGTTACAGCTATGGTTGTTCAGAAAAGTTAAACTGGTTATGCAGCAATACATAAGCATGAAAAACATGGTCACTCAGGAAAGTTTTAATTTAAGCAATTTGCCCAATATAATGCAGAATGTCATGGCAGGGATGAAATCAAGTTGTTCAAGTCAGCATTCCACTATCCCTATATAAATGATATATCCCAGTCCCTGCTCTGCTGCTCCAAACAATCTACTGTCTTATTCACCCATTTCCATAACAAAGTGCACTTTGAACCATTCCCCTTAGCCCCAGAGTAAATAATATGCTGAACTGACTATCAATCAGGCTAAAATAATGCCTTGCAGAAAATTCCACTTAAATTCTACATTTTAATTTGAATAGAACTTTATCTCTCATACATTAGTAACAGCATAACATATTTATATTTTAGAACAGTATAGATTAATTTAAAGTTTCCCAGTAGGTTATGGCTAGCTTTAGCATTTTAGGTACTGCTTTTCATTTTGCAATTAAGTGTTCTACTAGCAGCTTGATACCACTGGTTACACATACAAGTGTTAATCCTCAATAGATCACAAAGGAAGAAACAGGCTCAAAAGAAGGTCACAAGAAGACTAGTGGCAGAGTTTACATTAAATTCAGTAGTTCCTGAAATTCAACCATATTGCTGAAAATCAGGATGATATATATTTTACTTTTGGAAGAGCTTGAAGGTAATAAACTGAGAGAAAAAGTCTCAGTACTTTAAGTCTCTCCTGTAATTAATCACAATACTTTACTATTATACATTAAAAGAAATACAAAACAAACAGACCTACTAAGATCTGAAATCATGGAACAATTTCTGTATACTCATTTGGAGACAGCTGTAACTCATCATACTTTAAAAGGAAATATTTTAAATTCATAGGCAGCTTTTCTCACCATCTGAGGGTAGGCCCTCAAATAATTTCCCTTTTCCTGCCTATGTTTTCACTCATCCTATTAATCCCTGGGTCAAGTAGAAGTATATTTTCCTTAGCTCTTAAAAGTTATTTGGATAAACTTATGTGGTTTGCTTTATTATTGTTATTATTAGGAACCAGTATAAACCGTATACAGTTATTTAGCTATATTCATAAGGCTAAACAAATTGCTTTTCAGACTTACCATTCCTCTCTGAAATGTCACTGGTACACAAGTTTTCTGCAGAAGTCTTAGACCAGAATCCCCTCTTTTTCCATAGATACACAAATAAACTGCAGAATCTGTACCAGCTTGCTCCAAGTCACCAGTGTGGACATAAACATGGTATAAAACAACTTCCAAAAATAACCAAAAGAAAAAAATGCAAGTTATGTGTAATCACAATTAATTTTACTCACTATTACAGCTTAATGATGACAGTAAGTCTGATATGCAATTAATTTTCTGGAAGATACTCTCCAGAAATCAGTCAAACTATTTGCTTTTAAGATTGCTAGGACCACAATTTGGTTGGCATTAATACTGAAAACCAGGTAACCAATATATAAATAACTGTACACACATACTTGGATAGATAGGTTTTCCAGCTTCCACTACTGGAAGTTCACACAGAAATTCTCTATCATCACGATTCTTTGATAACCATGTGTTTGCTGGAAAATTCACTGTTTTCTTGCTCTTTAGATGTTGCAATATCACCTGAAGGAGAAGCAATTTCAACTGTGACTCAGTTCCAGTGCTTTGCTTCTCAACAGCAAAACATATCATTTTTTTTATTTTTTTTTTTCTGTCTCAGAAAACAGTAACACAATCAGTAAATATGACATACAAAATTGCAGCGTAAAAATATTTTTATTTTGGCCACTACTGTGCAACAAACAAATCTGTAGTTGAAATTTGTGGGTTTGCCATTTGAAATGTCACCAAGTCTGGTTTCAGTGAGTAAACCATCTCTATGTAACACTGCCTGGAGGACTGGAGACTGAAAACCTTCTGGTAGATGCTGTTAAATGACACCAAGCTTTTGTAAGATGTAGAAAGATGGGCACAAATTTTTTATTTTAGAATGAAAACAGGATGAAACTCATCTTCTACATCCTTCTGAAATTCGACAATTAGAGGATACAATGGAATCTTAAATCAATTTATATTATCTTAGGCTCTTCTACAGCAAAACAAAAAACAACCTGTGTACCAGCACCACCCATATATTCTTAAGGTGGTTAGAATTCCAATTTCTAGAGTTATTTTCTGCTGTACAGTAAGATAGCTGCCTTGTTTACTATAATTACAGCACTCTTTATTCTCTTTCATGAAAGCAGTTTTTGTAGGTCTTGAATTACAATACTTACTACAGGGTTTTTCCAGAGGTTTTGACTAAAGAAAGGAAATCATAAATTATCTTCCTGCAGTTGTGGTTTTGAATGTGTATATAATATGCATAAGCCTTGCAAATGAAATTATAACAACAATTACTCACATCCAAATTCTAACACTTAGGGGATCAGGGCAATAGATGTCTTTATCTGACTTTTCCAATAAAATATTATTTAAAGTAAAGTGAACACTGCTTGCAACACCAAAACATGTATTTATTCTAACATGAAATACTTAGGCAGCACTGATTCCTAATCTCTAATATTTATTGGCAGAGCCCCCCCTGCTGATTCATAATAGTTGCATGTATTAACTACTTTTTCAGAAAAACACAGCTTTCAATATGATTCATTTCTTGATATGAAATGAAGTTTTTGAAATTCCTGGCTTATCCTATGAAATTTGGAACAAAATGTTAAAGAAATATTCTAACCATCAGGCTGGAAAGTGAGATTCCTGCAATCATTTGAGCAACTAAAATATTTATACTCACATTCAGTTTTACTACAGTCTCAGTTAAGACCTTTGGATTAAAGTAAAATCTAATATTATTGCCTACTTCTGATTGTCTAAATCAAGCTTTTTAAGATTACTCAAATGAAAAAGAATAAACTTGTCTCCTTTACAAATTCAGTATAAGAAACAGACAAAGAATTCTTATTCCAGTTCTGAAATAAATTTTACATGAGTGTCAGTGTTAGCAAGCATTTAGAACAAATTTAGTATGGTGAAAATCCCTAAATATCAAAAGGAAAAACAGAAATAAAACAAAACAAAAAAGAAGAATTAATTCACCAAGTAATAAAAAAAAAAAAGGCAGCTTTCTTTTCACTGAAAATATTCATAATTATGAGGACTGGTGGGGCCTATTATAACTTACTTAGTTTACCTTTCAGAAAATTTTTTTCATTCCTTGCAAGTTGTTGTCATGGAATGATTGCTGCTCCATCATTTTCAAATTTTCAGAGCTGGAATTTAAAGCTGGAACCTCCCTAACACACACTGAAGAGTACAGAAATACCAAAGAGTATGGCAAATTTTCAGAAACCAAAACTTGGTCAAACACATCATTACAATAAAATTGCTGTCTGAAGGAATTAGGAATAATTGCAAAATAATCCTGCATATTTTCATCCCTTAGGAGATGAATTATATCAGTGTTTTTGTCATCTTTAAAGCAATCCTAGAATACAAATCAGTAAGAATTTATCCAAACCAACATTTACTGATTCATAAACCTATGTCTTTATGAAAAGATGGGCCTTTAGTTCATGTAAAAATTAATAAAATAGGAAAAAAATCACCATAAAAGTCTCACCCTTCGTAAGTTCCACTCAGGTTGGTCATTTGGTAATCCATCAAGTTCAATTCTTATCTTGTAGATATTCCCAATGTTGTTCATTTTAACCTGAATAAAGTCAGAACAGTACAATATATTACTACATAAAATTACATCATTATCTTTTCAATAGATTCTAAATTTATCTGAGCCATTGTAGTATCTGAGTGCTCAGGAACAAAACATGATATTTGATTGTAGATTTGAAGTTACAGAATTCAGAGAGAGCACTGCTTCTGTTTTGACTAAGCAGATTACTGTATGATCCCCAGGTTGACCAGATTACAGCCTAGTGGAATCACATTTCTTGCCAGGAGAAGATTTGGCAGGTGTTTGAACTCTTCCAAGTTCCAGGAGTAAAAAAAGTTGGTGAGGGTTGTTCGTAAGAGCAATGAGCAATACAAAATTACATCCTCTGACTACGAGTCACAAATCTTTCATAATTCTGCAGTTAGATGACCATAAACCCTATTATATCAACATGAAGGATATGAAATTTTGGAGACTTTAAAGAATAGCTCCCAAAAGCTGACAGAACATCTGCAAAACTTCAGAAGTCACTGATGCCATCTTTGCCTTCTGACTATGATTCGCATACATTTGCACTTTCAAGCATTATGTATGCTCTTACTTATAAAAACTAGTCTATGCAACCTATCTTCAAAACTTTAAATGAACCCTCACTTATCTAGGGTTCATCTTAAGTTTAACCACTATTTAAAGCAAGCAAAAATAATTTTAGGTCATATGTAATGTACCTTTAGGAAAGGAAGAGTAATGTGTTATTATGCTATTTCTCAAATAATAACTGTGTTCATAAAAGGTTGGTAACAGCCTATTCCTTTTCACCATTTACATCCAAAAAGCTATTTCAATTGTACAAAAATTATTTTTGTACTTTTTTTGTATTATTTTTCTCGTAGAAACACCTACTAGTATATTATCCACTCATACTTTACCTTCATTAACAAAAGCACTCTTCTCACTTTAGATGCCAGAATTACCTCATTTCCTGTATCAGCTTTTGTATCTTTTTGCAAGAAAATTTTTAGTTATAGTCACAGCATTGCCACATTTTAGCTAAAGAAAAAACTTTTACTCTGGATTTCCTGAACACTGAATTACAGATTGAATGGTTGTTTGAGACAGAATCTGTGGCTTTCACACATGTTATTTATATTGGCATAGTTGTTACATCAACCTGAATTCCATTAACCAAATAAATGTGAGCACCAGGCTTGCAACACTGATGTGACAATTTAGTTTCTTTCTTTTCCATTGGCTTAAGAGAATAGCTTTGCTTTGCTCTGCTGAGTCATATCCTTGCTTATGCTGCATAATATTCCCCTCTAAGAGTAGTTCTATTGGAGGTAACCTGGAGACTTTGGGATTAAAGTAGTAAAGCAGCAGTAAAGTATGGGAATATATTCAGTTTGAATGCAGAACAAAACCGCTGTTGTCTTTCCCCCCATTTCACAAACTAACCTACTTCTCAAGTAATATGGAATATTGTCTTCACATTCACAGAGCTGGTGTTCCCTGCACATACAGGGCTACTGTGTCTATTCTGTTTATTCCAATAAATCCCTCTTCAGACATTTAGTTAACAAAGAAAAAAGGTTGCACATAATTTCATGTATCAACACAAAACAAAATGTAGTAGACAAAGTCAGAATGCAAGGGTGTTTTCTACCTAAAACACGCATAGGTCTTCCAGAAGAAATGCTCTGGTTGTCTTGATTTTTCTCATGCACCATCTCCAGAATGATTAAACAGGCAATGAAAACTCACTTGGGTGAGTCATATGAAATCATATGAAACGGTTTTCAATTCTTAAGTTGGTTCTGCTCAAATTTTTCACAATTGCACATGTTACTGATAAATGAAAGTTTAAAGAACTTCAAACTGATTCCTAATTTCTGGATTATTACAGCCTTTCAGAAGCCACTTTCTTCCTAAAACTCCTGTCCAGAGCTATGATTAAACTGATTGCTTTAAAAATAAAATTTGGTATCCTCTGTTCTAGAATATATCAGTGAAAACACAGATGTTCAAAGACAGAAATGGTAAGAAGAAGGTATAACATTTTTTTACGTCTTAAATTCCTATTGTCATTTCAAGACCTATCCTGTTAAACAAGTACAGGATAAAGTTTAAAGTGAAAAGGAGGAGAAGGAGCTTTTACTCATTGGCTTTTCCTTTGTGGATTTATCCACTGCAGACTAAAGAGTCAAAAGCACTTCAGTGACATTTGCTCTTTCATGCCTGAAAGCAATAGTGTCAAAGTGATGTAAAAAATCCTAGTAGTAGCCCCAGGTGCTGAGAAAAAGATCCTGCTCTCTCACAAGATCAATATCTGCAGCACACAGCCATAATGGGCAACATCCATTGTAGAGAAGAAAAACTGGTCCATCTCTTCTGAACATATGGATTAACTTTGCAAACATGCCATTATCCAACATCACTTATAAATTATTTACTAATTAGGAGAACAGGATTCCCTATGGATCATAATCTATAGCCTATATGTTTAGAAAATTATGGTAGGTTATCTCCCTGCATATGCCCTATTCATAGACAGTATTATTATTATTATTATTATTATTATTATTATTATTATTATTATTATTATTGACAGTAGCAATCTTGGATTGTGCTAAGATTGCATTAGAAGAGTTTATGAGTCCAGAAAAAAAATCATGAAACATATAACTTGTGCTTTAGCTACTGAAGACAACAGTGTTAGATGCATCTCAGACAGAGATTTAAGAAAAACAGAAATCTTAGCTCCTTTGCTAATTTCCTCTCAGCCTACCTGGACATAATTTCCCTATTAAAATAGAGGTGGGGTTATTCTTAAATAAAAGCAGAAACCCTTCTGTTTTCACAAGATGGTAGCACATAGATTTCATTGGACTTTTAGTTATTCCACAGGTAAACATTTCTGGAATTTTGGTCACTTATAATACGGCAGCCCTAAAATGGGTTTTCTTCTTTAATTGAACAACTTCCATAGCATACATTTTATAGTATGCTTTGAAAACTGTATGCTGGAAAATTTAATTGCTAAAGATCCCTAAATAATATGCAAGTCTTTTATCAGACATTGTTTGTTTCAGAATGAATAGTTTTTAACGCTAGTCTCAAATCAATAGCCTTAAAGAAATCAATTTACTTCTGCAGTTGTTCCATTTGATCTTCTATATGAGGGAGGAGGTCTAAAAGAAAGATTATATCTTCTGTTGCTTACTATAAATAACAAGCTGATTTAACACAGAATTCATGGAGATTAGATACAGATTAATTTTATGCAGTAAATACAGGAAAAAACCCATTTCTTCTTTTCACATGACAGGATAATCCTTGGAAAGATACCTACTAAAATAATGTTCTTAGCCTTCATTAGCTACCTGAAATTCATCTTCCTGCCTGGGAAAAAACATCTGCTTCCTGTTGTCCTTGCCAAGAGTTATTGGTCCAGTTAATCCTCTGTCTCCATATATCCAAAGAGCAACACTTGCTTCAGTTCCTGCATTTCCTGTCAGTATTGACACTTTCCATTCATCATCTGAAGGAAGGGGACACTCACCACCTTGGGGATTTCTCATTTCCTCTGTGAAATACAGAACGTTAGTGGAAGATGAAAATTGACATGAAACTGCCAGCTGCTGTTGTAACTTCAGCACATAAAGAGGCCATAACAGCAGGGAGGTCGTATTTTTTCATGGCAAGTGAGATAGTCTGAAAAGATTGATTTATGTTTCTTGTCTAGACCAAAATGTACTGATTAGTTGAGCTACAAGAATCAGCTGGAAAAGAACAAGTTATCTCTCACTCGTGCTATCATCATATTCTTTGTATGTATTCTGGAGCAGACTAAGGATGTTATGGTGCAGAGCTTTGACCATTAAATTGACATTTCTGGTTCCTTAGTGTGACATTTAGAAACAAGTAGAATTTCTCCTCTAATGCCTTGTGTTGGGACATTGTTAGCAGGCTCACGCGTCTGGGAATACAGACAATTTTCATTTCAAATTAAAATAAAAAAAAAATCAGGAAATTAACATTCTTCAATTTAAATATCAACTAAATACTGCAAAAAACAAACAGACAAACAAACAAACAAAAAATCACCTCAATATAGCCTTGCCCAACCATACTTATGCAGTGCCATCATTTGGATCAAGGCATGCTCTGTATGAATGAGACAATAGCAACACAGTTGCACTTTGTGAATAAATTTCACAGCTCTAATGGCTGAGCAAATATAATTTTGTAAAACACAAGCTTCACTTTAGAAGAGCACCTAGTGATCTTCCAACTACCCTTAAGAGAAATATACATACATGCAGAGACATCAAATGACACCTCTGCACAGGAGATATCAAAAAAAACAGACTCTATTAGGGCAAAGGAATTAAATTTTGTGTAATTTAACCAAAGTGAAATTTACAAACATCAGATGTCTGGAACACTGCTTTTCAATAAGGGGACCACTGAACATAGAACTCTCTCCAAAAGAGGGAATTGTTGCTGCCAGAAATTTATAGTCTGTTCTTACACAAGAAGCAGTTATAAGTCCCAAGTTTGAAAAGATGAACCTACACATTGCCAATATACAGTGTCGTCCAGGGATTCCCAAATTTTTCACATGAGAACTTTCCATGTGACTACAAGAAGAATTTTTAATATGCCACCAACATGAATTTGTTGAGGAATTCCCAATGAATCACTGTGGATGTTTCTGCTGCAAAAGTTATATAGTGGTATTAGAGTCCTTTCCTTTTTTATTTGTTTGATTAAAATACTGTATTGGGTTTCTCTGGATGCCCTTACATCAAAGGAAATAAAAACCAAACACCCAAACACCCAACCAAACAAAATCAAACCAAAACTAGACAGAAAAAAAGGTGACACAAAAGATATCACCACCAGCAGCAGTTTTTTCTTAAAAGTTGTACTCAAAAGGAATTTTACAGCTGGTTGGACCACCAGGTTATCCTATACTTAAATCAACATGGTAACTAAAACACCAAAAGTGAATTTTGATCCACTAGCATTGATCTGTTAACTGATGTGAAATATTAACACAAGGAATTGCAAAGGACTTATGATCCAGTACAAAGTTTTATAATAAATAAGAACTGACTTCTGGAATCACAGAAAATTTAGCACTGGTAAAGATTATAACATTTGGTTAATCAATTTTTAAGAAATTCAGAAGTGGAGTAGCATGACTTTTACAGCAGTGCCTCTAACAGTAATAGTAAGACTTTGGAATGGTCATAGTGATTTAGCATTATTGTCATAATAATGGCTGGTTTTATTGTATTCCTTGTTATGACTGAGCAAGTTATTCTGAAAGGAAAAAGAAAATCCACACCCCAAAAATAAAGCAACAGGCAAACATTTAGAGTTTACCTGCCTAATAATTTAATTACACTTGTCTTTCAGTGCCTGAAAGAACTATAACAAAGTAATTGCTTTGGTATGATAAATATTTTTGAGAACTTGCCTATACAATTTTCTGCAACTGTAGTTACCTAACTTCTCACCTGTAACTTTGAAAACTAGCTCTAGATAGCTAGAGTTCCTTCCAGCTATCTAAAACCACAACTTTTTTACAGCAAAGTGATTAAAATGTTCATAAAATGCAGATACTCAAGAAACATAAGGAATCCCATGCTGCTTCTAAGCACTTGCTTAGGACAAGAACTCCACACTTGGGCAGTTGCAACCCAAAACAGTTACTGCACCTCTTGGAACAATTATAATGCACAAACAATTCACAGGCTTGGAATGCTTTGGGCCTCGTAAATTCTTGGCTCTTGTTACAAATGGAAATAAGTAGCATTGATTTGCTACAGGCTAAAAATATTCCAGTCTGAAAAGAGGATTTGATGGTTGCCCTGCATTACTCATGGGATTTTACACACTTCATGATACCATGCTGCAAATCTATTGTGACAAAAATTAATTCTAATAGGCCTGCATGAGAATGATGAAGTCAGAACCTTTCCCACAATTTCACAGAAAGAACTTTTTTTTTCAATTTACTTACTTATCCTAAATACAACAGAAAAAGAAAATTATCTTGTCTCAGAAGACCATATGATTGAGTGACACTTTTAAAATGAACTATCAGGAAAACTAATCTCTGGAGCAGAAGTTTGTGCAATAAAATTGATGTATTTTTATTACACCTGTGTATGTCATCATTTCCAGTGTTATCTGAGGTGGAAATGAGATCACATTTTTATTTGTATCTTATAAGTAAAATACATTAAAAAATTAATAGCAACTAATAATACCAGACATACAGGAAAAGAATGTGGAGGATATAGAGAGCATTTCTCAGAGATACACTTAGTTAATACCAAACCACAGAGGTGTTCTCAAGGTCACAGGCTGCATTTGTGTCATGGAAACTAATGATGTCTGAGCTTTTAAGTGGAGGCTGAGACCTGACATCATCTCTGTACAGTGAAAGAAGTTTCTTGAGGAGCACTGCAATGGGAAAAGTCCCAAATGGTGTAGCATGGTTTTCAGTTTAATGTATCCTTAATCAATTATTATTTGTGGAAACAAAAACCAAAACACATCTACTAGACACAGGCATAAAAGTGAGGGTCTGGTCAGCCTAAGACTTATCTGCTCTGAGTCTGCCTGCAAAGCCTACTGCTGGATTGTACACTCAGTACAAGCATCACCCTTTTCCAAATATTAACTGGGAGTGAAAAATAGAAAATGACAATTCAGTGAATATGTTTAAAACTTAAGGCTCACCTGTACATGTCATATGTTGAATGAAAAGCATCTAACTAAAAAACAATCATTTTATTTGAAAGACAGAGTAGCTTTGATATTTCTATTCATTTTCCATAAGCAGAATCTATATTTATGAATGCCAGAAAAACTACTTAAAAAGTGCTATAGACTCTATGTAACCAATTTCACGGCAGATATTGCTTCTATAAAAAGATCCTTTGTATCCAACCCTAAAAACATCCAGCTTCTTTGAAAACAGGGCTGATGGCTTGTGCATTGTTGCCATGGGTTTCAGACACAGCATATCTGCTGACATCCCACCATACTTTGGGAAGGCTTTCTGACACAATGATACAAGGTTAAGTCTGATAGATCAGAAATCGGGTGTTTTGAGCTAAAAATGGAAAAAAGAATTAAGTATTTATAGTGATTCACACCTATGCTTGAAATTTAACCAGAATACTTTGGCTGAATTGAATTTAATTAAAATCCTGCCTGATACTTCCCATTATACCCTATGAACAAGGGTGCCAGATGTGATGTCTTGTTCACACAGCCAAACTTTTCATGTACACTTTGAAACAGTCTGAGGATCAAGCTTGAAATCAAATCAGCAACCCACCTGAATTGTTTGCTACATAAATGCCTTTGAGAATACCTGTAATTGAGTAAGCATGTCTCTCGTACTGGAAGTTGCAATATAATCTTGTCTTTAAAGCCCTTGCAAAGTATCAGACATTTTTCCACCCTGCAAATGTGCCTCCATGTGCTGTTTGCAGCTCAGTAGTTTCCATTTACCTCACCTGCTTTTTATGGTGATATGACATGATTCAGACTGTCAGGGTCTTTGGATAGATTAAAATAAGAGATTCAGGAAGCTAGCATGATCATCCCCACTATTTAAGAGATATATCAGACCCTGTTTTGTTTAGTTATCTTAGTTTGATTACTAGGAATCTGAATATTCAAAAAATTCTTGGTTTAGACCATTTATGCAATTTCTTTAGCTAAAGATAAAACATTTTTTTTCTAGGAAAAAAGCCTACTAGACCATGACTCCAGAAGCATGACCAGAACATTATCTACTCCTACTTGCCAAAACACAGGTATAGATGTAGCATGCAGTGCATCAAAACCTTCCTATCTCTTCCAGTAAACCATAAAGCTGAAAACATGAGTGTGAGAGCATAAATGAGAAATACTCCATTCTTTCAGTGAGCCTTAGATAGGGTTCTGCACCATATCAACCTCTTAATTTCCACAGAAACATTCAATCAATAAGTTACTACTTAATTTTTTTTTTAAATGCTGATTGTTGCCTTATCAATAAACCACATTCCAATGCTGCTTTTAGAAAAAGAGTGACTGACAATGTATTTTATGTACTGTGTTTGTGTGCATAATTCAATGACCAATAAAAATCAATAAATCAATTCAATAAAAAGCCATTCACTGTCCTTCATGAGGTGAATCTCTGCAAACACGTACAGAGGACAAGCATAAAACAACACACCACAGCTGGTTTGTAAACTCTCACTTACTTGAGGGTGGGGGAGTTGAAGGCCTTTGAGGTTCTGGCTCCTGGGCTTTTCCTGGTTGGAATGGAGATTCTCTGAACTCTTTCTTCTCTTGTTTGAGTGCTGCAGATGTTCCCATAGGCTTTTCCCGGCCAACTAAAACAATGAAATGTGAAATCTGTGTCAAGCTAGAAGAAATTTGGTGTTTCTTTCTCAGAAGCAAGCAACAGATCTCACAGTTGTTCCACACAACACACATAAAAATCTTTATTGTTAGCAAAATGCTACAAAAAATGGAAAAAAAAACCCCTGACATACCAATTAAAATCTGTTCAATGTTTTAAAAATCTAAGCAAAAATTTAACACTGATGTAGGAATAAAATGACTTGTTAAAATGTAACTTTCCCCAAAATAAGCTTCTCCACCCTTAAAATGTTTCCTTTCTTAACAGTGGAAATGCTGAAATGAAAACTGCTAGAGACCATTTTAATAATATAAATTGATATTTTTAATATGAAAATGTCAAAAAGGCAATATTTATTGCTTGCATAGAAAATATTAGCTCCTTTTTATGTTCCTTTTAGTGAGCAACACAGATTTAGAGGGGTTGAAGCCTGTGACACAGTAACATTTAGCTTTATTTAATGAATAAGCACTGTCTTGTTGAGAATTTCTACTGAAAACACTGCTCTTCCAAAAGGTAATAAAAATAATTTCCTCATTTCTACAAGGACACAGTGATCAAAATATTCCTATCACCCTGCAGCAAGCAGGGATGGAACAGCAAGGATGCGCTTACAGTGACTTTCGATCACAATACGCATGTAACAGTTAGTAAGAGTGGTTGTAGGTTTTGATACTCTCTTTTTGGAAAGTTTGTTCTGCTTGGAAAAAAATCTGACCAACCTCTCAATTGCAAACTGATGCTCATTTAGCCTTGTCATGATTTTTTTCATTTCCTGATGTCTGTTGTCAAGTTCACCAGATAAGAATACATTTCCTGTAGAGTAGTTTCCTGCAGCTATCATCTAAGTCAGCTGGCTTTGGTAGCCAGTTTTTCACTAAATTAAAAACTTTCTTCTCCTGAAGGGGAAAAGACAAGCAGACTATCCAATGACAGTGATCCAGAGTGTGCTGAGACCCTGTTTCTGGGTCCTGGCTTGTTGAGTAGGTCAGCTCTCTACTGAGGAAACATTTTGGCTGCAATAGCTCTCAAATCTGACTATGGGACAGAGGAATGACATAATGAATATACTGGGTGGGGAGGACGATGTATTTCACATCACTAAAAAAGAAACTGAGCACTGCCAAGTAGGCCTTCTTGAAAGTCTACTAATTCTCCTATGAAATTGGGAAAAATATCATTATTATTATCATTATTATTATCAATTAGAAAGGAATTAAGTTAACTGAATATGTAGGAGAAATTAAGTGTGTTTACAATAAAATTTTCAGTTTTAAAACTACTAAAACACAAGGGAAACTGTGTCAATGTATCTTTTACACTATTGCTTTGAATTTTGTCAGTTAAAAGTATTAATTACTATGTAAATCCATAGGCTGTTGAGAAATCACTTACATTTGATGACCTGTGGGTAGAAGAAGATATTTCTCTCCCCAGTGTTAACAACTGGTTTAGTCTGGCCATCTGGCAGAAGACCAACATATATCCCTTTATTTCGCACTGATTCCAGACTCACAGATCCAGTTTCCAAATTATTCTCAATTTTAAAATGACAGTATTCATCACCTGTGCCCTAAGAAATTGAAAACAGAAACATGAATTCAACAATTGAATTAATGTAACTAGAGGATGTTTCTTAAGTCTTAATTATTACTACTTTCCAGTAATACTTCAGATTAACTTTACATTCTTCACAACATGCTACATTACTACACACATAGAGACATACCTGTACCTAATCCCTTTTTAATCCTTTAACCAGCAAAACTAATCACATAAGTCAGGGAAGTGAAAGACCAAGTGAAAGCATTCTGATTTATGTTAGGATTTAGGCAAAGACTAGGATATATTCAAAGGAGTTTCCCACTTAAACAGTTTCCAGAGGATTAAGAAATGTGAAAATAGCTATTTTAGAACACATAGGATATTTCTATACAAATTTTATACATAGCACAGGTTTGCTAATGCCACATAATATAACATGTATTAAATAGATGTCACTTTTTTCCTCAGTTTCATAGCACTTTCAAGTTCAATCTCAAAACCTTTACCCAATGTCACTTTTTATCTGGACCTCCTGATCCACTGGTGGAACACTGCTGAAAAATAATATACTCACAAAGCCTAAATTCAAAATATGGATCAAGCATTTTAATCTTTGAAAGTGTACTGGAAGCAATGACAAAACTCTTATGGACCTCATATCTCAGTACTTATACAGCTTTATTTCATATTCAGTTGTCTTCAACTCCCAAATAAAAATTATGAAGGAATATTTCTCACATAAATGTGAGAAATATTAACTAAGATGACAAGAAAAACACTTTAAAAGTCAGGAAAATATACAGTTGTATATGTCTTAATTATTCTTTAATGGGTTTTATCTTCATCATCTATCTAGCAGTACATAAGTTTTAACTACATCCACATTCTCAATAGTTTAAAAATATAATCAGATCTTCACTGATTCAATCAATTACCAAACTAACACAACACCTTCTCTTGCTCTATTTTTCTATAGTTTCTGTGGCAAATGAAGGAAAAGATTTGAAACAAATTAAATCTGTGCAAAGTTTTATGTCATTTTTATCCAAGAAAATTAAAAAAGATTCTCTCCTATCACTGACAATTCACTCAAACTATCTGCAGAGGGAAATGCAAACAAGAATTGCTTACTGTTCCATCACACTGGTCATCTTTGATCTTCAGATACATTCTTGGTTTTTTCACACTTTCAAACATGCAGAGTCCAGAGCCAATTTTATGCACCTTCCAGTAGGATTCCTGCTGCTGCTGACCTGCTCCACTGCAGCTCCCATCAGGTCTAAGTGACAGAGCCTGGCAGAGACTTGTGTTGAGCAGAATGATGGCACCATGATGAAACACACCCTTTAGATCAGAAACAAAAAGTCCTCTGTGAACAGCACTCCTTTTCTCCGTATTAAATTTTGATACTGATGCTGCTCCTACTGTTTTGTTTTAAGCACTTATTCATGAATGTCCTTGTGTGAAAGACAAAAGAGTCAGTCTCAAGTAATTGAAGTATACCTCCAGTCTTTGGATATCTGCTGCTTTCTGTGCAGGCACTAACCAGAGCAGTGGAAATCCTTCCCTACTCTGCAGCATCCCTGCTTTTCCTCGCTCAGCAGCCCGGCACAACATCCAGAGCACAAGGAGAGTGGCAAATTAAGGAACTTGTCTCTTTTCAACAGCAGCTCTCGTGGGCTGCTTTTCCAAGGTCTGCTAGGAAGTTTAGGGTCTCATCCTGCCCGTGCTGCAGCCCAGCCTGTTTGCAGGTAGGAGCTGCGGTGTGGGCAGCGCTCTCCCGGGGCCAGCAGCGAGGGGAGCCCTCCCAGCTGCCGCCTACGCTTTAAATTGTTGTGGAGCTCCACCTCGTGGAACAGGATCCCCCTTTTAGCTCGCAAACCTCTGAAACTCGGCTAGAAATAATCCGCTTTCTAACTGCAGCTTGTGTAACTGAGAGTCTTCCTGATCTCCCTCTGCCCGCCTTACCTTGACGTGCACAACAAAGTCTTTGGAAAGCCCAGCGTAGCCTGACCTTTCATCGGCTACTTTGCCTTGGCGACTGAAAGCCACCGTGTGGCCTGGGTAGCTGGCTGACTCAAGGATGGCACAGCCGTCTGGTTGAAGGTGAACACGGAGCTCACAGCACGCCTTGTCTTTGCTCTAACATAGTCAAAGAAGGAAGAATAAATTATGCGAACTATATGGCAAAATCCAAACCTGAGAGTATCACAGTACAGTTTCTGTGTTGTTTGAATTCCCACAATCCTAGCAGCCTAGTAAAAAAATCTTTCCATTTTTCAGATTTGCGGTCCTAATAAGGACTGAAATTGTGGACCCTGTGGAATTTGGCAGAAACAGTTCATTGTAAGATGACACAGATCTGGCAATAATACAAAAGATACCTAGGTACTGCAGCTGGAGAGTGTGTCACAGCCTATAAAGACGGTAAAGAAGTATAAAAGTGACACAGACAGGAAATGAACCACAGTAACTCTTGGGCACCGGCCCATCTTTGGCATGGTTTCCTTTTCTGTTTGTCTTCATTCATTTATACTGTCCTCACAGAAAACACTCAGGGAATCATGACATATGATATTCTTTACATACTATTTACATGAAATAGCAAAGCGATACACTTTACTCCATGTTTGCCCCTTTGGCTTGGCAGGCTTTTATGATCCCATTGCAAAAAAATCATAATTTAATATTTTATCAAAACATTTAACAATAAATAATAATACATATTTAAACAGTTTATCCACTTATCATCATCCTCATATTTAAATAAAACTAGAATTTTAATCAATGTTAAATGCTAAAAATACTTCTAATAATTGATAATACTTCTGATTTACATCATCTTAGAATTTTCAAGACAACAAAGAGCCAATATTGTTACAGAAATTTTTAATTTTCAAGGCAGTACCTTCTGAAAAAAAAGCTAAAAGAACTGTCTATTAGATACAATATATCTATAAAAGTAAAGGAAAAATTGTATGAAGTTTAGAAGTACTTGTGAACAAGTAAGTAAGCATGTCCTCAAAGTACAATTAAGTATATAATATGAGGCAAATTGCAATTTTATGTAGTCTTTTTGTTCCTCCAATGCCTGAGAGACAGATACCCTGTCTTAAAGGTGTCATAAAACATCAAAGACTCCCAAAGCACCCTCAGACTCTATTCTGAGGCCTTTCACCAGAGAATTGAAAGCTTCCCTTCACAAGGGGAGGTACCTGGGCATTCCCACCTAAATTCTGGTCTTGTGAAGGACCAGAAGTCAGATTTCCATGATCCCTGTGGGTCCCTTCCAACTCAGGATATTCTCTGATTCTCTGATCAGAAGGAACTGGATTCTACAACTCCATTTACCTACCAGTATACTGCAAGTGCTGAGGAAGAAAGATCATAGTAAGACTTGAAGCTGGGCTGAAACAAATCAAAATGCATCAAAACAAACCCTGGATTATACCAGTTGTCTTATGACTGGCATGTTACTTAAAAAAAAAAAAAAAAAAGAAAAAACATGAAGGAAAAAAGGACATTAAAATTCAAGCCAGAGAATTTTTCCTTATCGAAAAAGAGGAGACATTAGGGCATTCCAGGTAGCTTGTCAACATGTGGCAAACAAATATAAATGACATCTTGGAATAGTCTGGTATATCTGAATTAAAGAAATCAACCAAAGAATAAAAAGTAAACTGTGAGAAAACAAATCCCTATCTCTAAAGTCACCTATTTATCAGCAGTTTCCTGGGTTCAGTTCTGCAATTCTTCACTCCTTATCAGACTGGAAATATTTATTAGACAGACTTTTAAAACTTTTTTTTTTTTTTTTTTTTTTTTTAAATCAGACAATGACATGTCTTTATGAAGCAGGAATCAGTAACACCACTTCCTACCTTTCCAGTTACACGGCCACTGACAAGAGCAAGAGCAAGAGATGGCATCTCATGACTGCTGAATATACATCTATTTCTCCTTTTGACATTTACATCAAAAAGACCTAAGAGTTAAGAAAAAAAAAAAGTTAGAAATATGAAAGTATATTAATTCATATTTACATTTAATTACAATCGATGGTTTATCATTTTCAAGGGAAAAGAATTAATTCAGTGTTTAACTCAACAGTTTGACCTCTCCAATCAATAAATTCTCTCATTTGTTCAGGAAAGGGCATCAAGGGACTACTGTCTCTTTTGCTGCCTTGAGAAGAAAAGCCCTGAGAGGTAATGATAAGGAACAAATTTCTTTTTATCAGCACATATGCTTAAAAAAAATCCATAAAAAGGAGCTGAGAACTCCAGCATGATGAACTGAGCTCTAGCAATGAATTTAGATGATAAATAACAGATGATGTAGGGAACATAAAGCTCGCAGGTAAGAAAAGAGAATTCATTTTCTCTATATCCATAATAGAATTTGTAAAGCAAATCCTGCAGCATATCTCATGGCTTCTCAAATTTTAAATCTGGCCCATTTTCCAAATGATTAACTCTTATAGCTACAAAATAGTGATGAAAGGTAAATTCTTGCCATTTTTATTGTTCCCAGGGACAACAACGATTTTTTTAACCAACTGTTCTACCAGTCCATTATGTTGCCTTTTTGTAAGATGCAACTGTCTCTGGAGGAATCCTGCGGTGTCCTGATGCACTCTGGTGTGTTCTGAAAGATTCTATCACTTCCAAAAAGATCTGTGTAAGGTCTCTGTGTAAAGTCCCTGGCAAGACGTCAGAAAGACTGAGCAGCTCCATCACTACCAAGGGAATAAATTATGTGTACCTAATACAACATGTATTAGAAACAAGTGCTACTAATGGAGTAGGAGGAAAGCTAAAGGATGGAACTGGAAGACTGCTATTAAAATCAGTTTAAAAAATAGAATAAAATTAATTTATATATATATTCTATGTATGTGTACACATAAACGTACACATATTTATACTCCTTATTAACGAACTCTACCTAAATTTGAACTTGTTATCTTAGATGGATCTAGTTTCAAAACACTCCAGTTGTCCTTGCCATGTGAGTTCTGTGGGAGCACCAAACTGCTGAAGACAAGAAGTTTTTCTATTTGGTAAAGGAAAGCCAGCAACAAGACACCATATGAGAATGAATGTGTGTGTGTGTGTGTGTGTGTGTGTGTGTGTTTTCTGAGCCCTTATACATGCATACTTTAAGTAAGGAAAATGTTTAGTATGATTATCCACTCCTATCCATTTTAGGAATCTCAACATTAAAGCCTTTCTTCCCTGTATCTCTTATGCATACATCCAGATGGAAAATACTTTACCATATTTATTTTTCTTGTCACCAAGAGCATCAACTCTGCTGTCTGGGTAGAGGCAAATGAAGCCATGGGTGAGCCTGTTGTAAAATTGAAGAGTAATGCCTTTCTGAAATTTCCACCTTTCTGCAGCCCACTAGTTTTGTAAACAACAAACAGAAAAGACTTATGAGATGATATGCAGCAATTTGTCCTACAAAGCATTCAACTGACCTGATTTCACTCAAAGCATAATTTCAATGGTTTAAATTAAAATAAAAATACATACTCTTACAGTTTTTTCTCTCTTGAGTTCCAGTTCTTGTCCTGTGCAGATAAAAAGAGTGTAATTAATTTACAGAAATCCTTTCTTCCCTTTGAGAGAGTTTTCTTCCCCACCAATTTTCACTTACTTCCTGGAAATGTGCTGGCATCTGTCACAGGCAGTTCTCTAGCAATACTGCCATCATCCTGTCCCTGGTCCAGCCACCTAAAAACCAGAACCTCTTTCAGTAATAACCTCCACTGGCAACTTCCAAAGTACTTGGATATCGATACTTGCTGTCCTACGCATTAAAGTCTCAAGGCTGACAAACAGCAATACAAAAACCCAGCTTTAGTAAAAAGAGATTAACTTCGGCAAAAAATTATTTCTGTTTCTTGTTCTTGGTGAAACATAAGTAAATGCTTCCCTTGACTGAGGTACAAGGGCCTAACCCAGTTGTTACAAATCAGTGAGCTCATATTCATCCCAGATCAATAATGAATTGTGTAGTGGTCACAATGTTTGTTTTTCCTATCTGCAAGAAGACTACAGCAAGATGCAAATTATTATTCTGTACCCTGAAAATCCCTATAAGAGGAGGCAAATCCAACAGTGGCAACAGTTTCACCATGTCTGAACTATGCTTTCACAATGCCTTTTTTACACATCTACTTATGTAAGTCTAACTCCATTTGAGTCAAAAGCATTCACACACCCAGAGTAAGATGGCAAGCACGGCATCAAACTCTAACAATAGCTAGCACATACCCTGTATTTTTCTGCCTGAAATGGAGTTGAACTCTCCCTAAATTATGTATGAAGCCAGCATTATAGATCTCTTCATAGCAGTTCATCTCATCTAGAATACAGACTCAAAATTAGGTCAGGCAAGGATGAGGTGCTGTATCTGATAGGCAGAAAGCCCTTATTCACACATAAATCAGTTTCAGTGTGCACATCGCTCACTCTGGGCTGTCTCAGGCAGTTATTTATTCACTCAGAGAAGTGAGACAAGGAAATAGAATTGGGGTGCCACTGGCAAGCTGCAGCTTCACTCTTACGTGACTGGACTTTACCGTTCCTAATATTTGCACTGATAGTTATAGATTAAAATTTTTCCACAAGGTGTTGGGAATTAATCAGGCATAGATAAAACTGTAAATGAGTTACAGAAGATTCTGAGCAGCAGCATCTGCAGGGGAAAAGGCAGGGAAGTTGGGATTGCTTCAAATTACATTGCAGCTCAGCAAGAGGCTGAAAAGCAAATGACTAAAGGGGATGTGGTCAGGTAGCTGCATTTGTGATTGCCATTTCACAGGACCTTAAAGTCTGATCCTGAGCTGACTGAACCTCACATTCATCTCCATACTAACTTCAGTAAATCAGGAACAGTTTGCTAGAAAGACAGCAAGCCACTCTTCTGACTGCACTGCATGACATGGAAGAATGGATGAACCTGCTGGTGTCAAATACAAGGTACTGGGTATGGGAAATGTGTAACAAAAGCCTATCTTAAACAGTTCAAAAGGTGCAAGAATGGAAAGTTCCCAGGCAGGACTTTTTGCTGCTTTTACCTTAGTTCAAATGCACCAGACATTTGGGGCAGATACAACTCTTAGAGCTGTAAGAAGAATCAGACAGCTCACTTCTTAGGAAACATGTATTTCCCCTTACAGGGTATTTCAGGAGAAAAACTAAGAGTAGTTACAAATTTATTAAAAATTTAACCCAAATCAAACACAACTAACCTGTGACAAAGAAAAGTATAATCCAAATCTGTTACAGGATCCTTGATCACAACTTTTTCCAGAAACCATCCATTTCCTTCAAAGAAATAAAGTTTTAAAAAAAAAGTTTCTTCATGACAGAAAAATTTATGTATTTAATTATGTCTGACTTCCTATAGTTTTCTCTTTTTTACTGGAACTGCAAAATCTGCATCTACACTGGCAGGTTGCAAGAGTCACAGTCTCCACTCACTGGAGACAAGAGTCTCCAGTCTCACAGCTGGAGAGAGGACAGTACCTGCTCCAGGTACTCTAGAGTTTCCTTATGGGCCTGCAAAAGCTGCTGGGTCTCTCCCTGGCTACATCCCTCCCTCCTTTAACATTGCCATCATATGAAACTTATTCATTTTGCCAAACAAAATATCAACAAGATTAGATAGCAGCTTACAGGCCCAAAATAAGTTGTTATGTTTACAGTATTTAGGCTCAAGAGTTTGAAAAGTAGGACTTGTGACTGCAAGCATTGTAATTTTTACCATTAACTGGAAGTCTAATGACAAGATAGTGCTACAAAAATCTTCAATTGTATCTTTACAGTGCAACTGAAAATGCTAATCCATCTAAAATTATATTGGCTCATTTTGACTTTAATACAAGACACAATCAATGTCTTAACATGCAAACATTCCCCCTCTCCACAGTTTTTTATAGGGATTAGTAAAAATTACTGTCAGATGCTGTTCTTAACATAATGGTTGAGAGTATAGCGAAAGTGAGATTTCTGACCTGATCCAAGCCCATTATGTCCTATAACAATCTTGTACAAACATCCAAGGTGCACAGCTTCAACAGAAAAGATGTCAGTCTGTAATCAACCAACAGAATTTCAGAAAAATCTAAAAAGCATAGCATTATTCAGCCACGAAATTGTGAATACCCATAAACCCTTCTAACTCTTTTGTCAAGATCATCATTTGAAATATTAGCTGAAACAGTGGCAGAAGCCTGATCACTTTGCTAATGAGAGTAGTGCCATTCAAATGAATGGGATCAGAGTCAGGAAAGAAAAATTGGTTGAATGGCTAAGCACATACAAATTACAGCAGATGTCAACATTAGAAATGCAGATAAAAAATGAAAATTTGTTTCCTCTTCACTTTTTAAACCAAATTTTTAGAAGAACGGAAACCAAAAGTACACAGCTTACCTATTTTACAAATGAAAATTCTCACTTTCAAAAGCAATGGTATAACATTAGAAAGTAATAGGGAATACTTAATTAAGGAATTCTGGGGAGCCATTGGAATACAGTGATTATCTCTTTTCTAATTGCAACTCTCTTGGATGTACCACCCACTCAAGAGAGAAAAGCCAGCCAAAGACATCAAAAATGCTCTTTCACTTACTTGTCCTTTTAAAAATTTCTTGGATTTCTGTGACCTGAGCAGCTGTCTTGATCCTGTATCACCTCTTTCTCCATAGACAGAAATATAGACATCAGCCTCAGTTGCAGCATTCCACAGGTCTCCTGTTGTCACATGAACTTTGTAGACAGTCACTGAAAATAAAAGATGACAACTTTCCATATCACAAGCACTTCTATAGTTACAATAACATCTAGCTGGCTGTAGAGTCCAAATACATCTGTGTCAAGGACAGAGTATAAAATATTAAAAGTGCTATTCAATAAAATACAATACAAACTTGCTTTTATGGTTTTTATGTTTTCTACATTCATTGTTACATCTATGGCTGTCATTTGTGGGGAATGCAAACAGAAGTTAATTCTAAATGCCCAGTATTGGTCCTGCAGCATCATTTGAAGTCATCATAAACTGAAAAGTAAATAATGTAAATCCCAGATTGGAGTCACCGTAAGTGGTGAGATCAAAACTGTAAAAAGGAATGGGAGCCATTATCATTTTGAATGTACTGGGTAACCAAATAGGCTAAAACCTAGCACCATTGTTTTAGTTTCCAAGGACCTGAAAACTCACTGTTTTATTATTTTAGTAATTCATGTTATAGGATACAATCCTAGAATGGTTTGGTTTGCAAGACACCTTTAAAGACCACCTAGTCCAACTCCCCTGCCATGATCATGGACATCCTCAGCTACCTCAGGTTGCTCAGAGCCATGTCCAACCAGACTTTGAATGTTTGAATGTTTCCAGGGATAAGTAACCTCCAATTTCATATGGATTTTTTTTAAGGATATAAATTTAGGAGGGAAAAACTAACTTAAATTCAATAAAATTAAACCATTTAATAATTACTTAATTACTTATTAAATATTTAATAAAAATGGATAATGCAAGTAAGATTAAATTTGAGTCAAAACCTAATGAAACTGAAGGTTATGATACATAAAAATATCTACCAATATCAAACTGTGGTCCTTAAACTGCAGATGCAGGAACTCCATAAAATTCAGAATTAACATAAAACATGCAATCATAATCTTCAGTAAAAATGGGAAAAGCAAAATTTATGCCAACATACACTAACAATGTCTTTTTAGACCAGGTGAGGTACAGAGAGAATGAAAGGGGAAGAGAAAACCTTATTTTCTGGCACACAAGCTCTTCTTCCAAGGGTAGATGTCTGTGTGCTTCTCTGTCTTGTAAGCAGAAGAGTTTCTGAATCACTGGGTCCGAAACAACATCAACATTATCATCATTCAATTGTCAGTTTCTATTTGAAACATGTTAGGAAGATTGGCTGTAATTCTCTGAAGAAGGTTGCTTCCAAATCTCACTCTTCTGATGGCCAAACACCTTCCTTTTATAAGCACTGAAGATGTATTTACCATCAGTCTGTATCTGCAATTATGCTAGGTGGCTGCTCAGTGTTACAATTTTTCCCTTCATCCTATTTTTTTCACTATTATCTCCCACTTATTTACATGGTATTTTTTGTGCTTGTTACTAAACAAGTTTTCTTTAAAGAATTCCATTTGGATAATGGTAACAATTTGGAAAAAAACACTTAACAGCCTGCGCAGATTTTAATGTGCCCACACAGAATGCTAGTGGTAGTTTCCTTCTGACATGAGAGCTAACTCATTTTGAGATCAGAGCCTCTGAGCTCCTCTGAAATATGTGGCAAAGACCAGCCACATTTAACACACAGAAGCTTTTGACATTCTTTAGTTAGCAGCAGAATCAGGCACTATCTTTCCCAGTGTATGCCTGCCTCAATACTCAAAATAGTTTTCATTAAGCAACTGTTAATTCATACTGCATAATACCCTTATAATTTCATATGTCCCCATCTGATCTATTTACTTGACCAATTTTTTCTTTGCAGCACCCACATGAACACATGTCCCATGAGCAGACCACAGCAGAGGAAGAGAATTAATTTCTCTCTGGACCAAAATTCCATGCATAGGACCACAACAATCCTCTATCGCAACAATTGCCTCCTTCAATAACTACCTACTTTATAATTCCTGCAAGGAGAAAAGCAAAGGTCCACCAGCTACCAACACTGTGTAACCCTGATTTATTCACAGGATATAATTAATGATTGTGTCATAAACTATGAGCAGACAGGGACAGAAGTAGAATGGTAGAGGATAAAACGTCAAACGAATGCTGCTCAGTCCTCCAGCATTACAGTAACAAAGTGTCTGTGCAACTCTTCTTAACAGTTTAATTCCCATGTTCTGCCTTTGAATAAAAAAGAATGTTAAATCAGAGAGTGTTTCAGCCTCTTTTTATTCAGAAATTGGTTTTAAAGTGCTTCTCATCATCTCCCTTTCACATTGAATCCAGATCCCTTCACTGTTCTGTTATCAAACTATCTTCTCTGAAGTTGAAAGCTGTGTTCCCTTTTCACTGTCTCATGCAGAAATATGACACCGGCAAAAAGACACAGAGGCCGTCTTTCAATTACTAAATCAGAGATGAAACTGCCTTCTCCAAAGCTTTCTGTATGACCCTTTTTACACTGAATCAGGTAGAAATGCACAGAAGCTCTTTTCTTTCTCCCATGTGTGAGGGAGAAATTGTTAACTACAAAATGCAGATTGAGAGGTTGGTTGTAAGTGTGCCTTTGTGCTTTTCATGCACCGAAGATTACTTGGTAATAAAAATCTTTCATTGTATCTTTATTTCAGAAACAATTGAAACCTGCTACTCAGAAAGAGACCAAAAATTAGGATGTTCAGAGAATCACAGAATATTCCCTTCTGTTGGAAGGGACCCACAGGGATCATTGACTACAGTTCTTAAGTGAATAGCCCATATAGGGATTGAATCCACAACCTTGGCATTATTAGCACTATGTGCTAACAAACTGAGGTTGTTGAGATCTGCACCTCAGAATATTTTAATGAGAGCACAGTTAGGAAGAACAGATACTGCAAATAGGGGAATACAGCATATTCAATGTAGTATGTCAATTATCATTAATTAGCATTTATTCAAAGGGGTGAGGAGGCGCTTGACTTTTATACCAGCGTGTTGTATGTCCCCCTATACAAAAAATAATAATCTCCTGGCCAAAAAGACCAAACCTGTGAGGAAGCAGGCTAAGTGCCTCTGAGGCTTCTCATGTCATGAAGATCATGACCACCCAAGACCAAAATTCATTGTGGTTAGTGTGGACAGGACCCTCTCTAGAGCATTTTATGAGCCTAATGTTTTATGTTGCTAAGTACTGGGGGAAACCTATCTCATTATTCTTTTTCTCTTAAAACGTACTTTTGAGGCACAAACCTGTTTTTTCTGATCTTCTTGTTATGTTCTTAATCTCAGAGCTCAGACATCACAGGGAAGCATAAATATAACTTCAGGTCACCTTATGACAAGAGTAATTGTCCCAAGGTATGTTTTCCCACATCCATGGGCCATTTTCTGGCCTTCCATTTTATTTGTATGTATCTTCTGCCTCTAGCCTGCACCCACAATATCTATTACCACTGAAATACCTGTTACAATTTCAACTTTAAAGGATCAACACAAGAGACCACAGGCACATCATAAAGCACTGATAAATTGTTAAACATTCTGGAAAAGGGGTTCCATAATTTTTAGAGAACTCAGAGTGGAAATTTCTCTCATCCCATTAATTTTGTCCTCTGCGGCTATGATTTTTGTGGGGAAGAGAAGAGAAAATGTCCCAGGTGGATGTTGTTCTAGTGAAGTCCTAGCACAAATAGTACCAGTGGTGTTGTGGCTTTTCCTCCTCTAGCACCATGCCTCAATGTGATGGGAATCTGCCGCAGCATTCTTACCCCCTCACCCACATCTCTCCCAGGACTCACTTGCTGATCTTGCTAAGCCCTTGTAATTTTCTTAGAAATTTTCCTGAAAAGGACAGTGCCAATTGGAGAGAAAGGAAGAACAAGCACAGACTTTCCACTCCCTTTCCATTGATCAAGCAGAGGGATTTTATAGCAACATCAGGGATTGGTGTGGTAGAGCAGGACACTAAAACAGTGCAATAGCAGCAGCCAATCATTTTCATATTCTTTGGAATCATTCATCTTTAGAATTACAATAAAATCTCCCTGTGAATAATGGAGATTTTAACACTTACAGACTCCTGAAATATTTATTCTGAAAGTTTTATTCCACACCCAAAAATTAAAAGGTCTCTGGAATCTGAGCCACTTACCAGAAAGAGACTGAAACAGCCACTACAATAGTAATGCTGGAGCTATAATCCTCAGTTATTGAAAACAGAGTTTGTGACCTGACTCATATGCTGGTTTCATGGTGTTTGCATGTCTGACATGTCTTTACTATTGCCTTTATTTTAAACCAAACACAAGCACTGAAAATCTTACCAAACAAGGAATCCATTTAAAGAACGTGTGAAATTCAAAGCATTAAAGACTCTCTCAATTCTTTTCCAGTGT